AAAAGCCTGAGTAACATCAGCCTGGGGCAGCTTATGCGCTGGTCTGTAAAGAAGTTTAGAAGTAACACTGTCCAACTTTTCTCCGCAGTAGATCTGTTCCTTTTTTACCCATCTACACACTAACGTTTTATTATTGATTTCTCACAGTAAGCTTTAAAGTACGTACACCCAAGGAGTACACAAACTTCTAGCTTGCCGTTCCGCTTCATCATGCTCAAGCTGCTTGTAGCCGCCTTAGCGGGGTCCGCAATGGCCCTTGAGGCAGGGGGGAGCGGCGACGGCGGTGATGAAGACGGCGGCGGCGTGGTCGGCGGCAGCGATGGTGGAGGCGGTATAGGCGGTGTTGAGAGGGGCGGCGGAGAGTGAGACGACGATGACGGCGGCGGCGAAGAGGGTGGGTGCGCGACGGTAATGGCGGGGGCGTCCGTGGCGAGGGCAGCGGTGACGATGGTGGCGGGCTCGCAAGAGGAGGACTCGGGGATGGCGGAGATCGTGACGTCGGTGTTTGGGGGGGCGGAGAGGGCGGCGGCAAGGGCGGTGGCGGTGGGGAGGGTGGCAGGTGGAGAGAAGTGTCGGGATGAGCGATGGTGAAGGCATGGAGGAAGTACGCGAGAGAGATCGGCGGAAGTGGAGGTGTGGGTTGCCGCTACGTTCCTAAGATAGCGACAGTGATTTAGTGCTGATAACGGGACTTCGATACGTGTGCGCGTGGTGTGTAGGCGTGTAGGCTCAGGCCTGTCAGCGCTGCGCGGCGTTTGAGTGAGGTGGGGCGGGATGGCGAGGAGAGAGATTGTGTCAGTAGCGGAGGAGGGTGCTGGGAGGCCGTCTGGGTCTAGCTCGGCGCTGCCGTCGGTCGCGAGGTCCGTGACGTAAGTTGAAGTAATCTCGCGGACGGTGGGGTCCGATATGATTATCATTGGGTGATGAATGACAGAGGAGATGCGGGTTTGGGAGGGTGTGGATTCACTAGTCGATAGAGATCGCCGAATGATCACGCGCGCGTGCAGGCGAACAGGGTAAGGGAGACACCTTTGCGACGCCGCGAATCCAGTCGATCTGCGCGCACGGCGGTAGAGCGAGGGTCGAGTCGATCGGCGTCCAGATGTCGTGCTGCAGGTACTGAAACGGCGCCTCCGGGTCGCAACGGCTCTTGTGGTGCGCGTCGCGTACCAGTGGCGTGACGTTCTGAAGTCGGCGTAGCTGGTGCTTGATTGACTTGTAGCTGCGGACACCAACGCGTATCTCGTTGATCTTTGCGCCGCTCTGGTACGTGTGAAGCAGAAGGCGGTCCTCCTCGATCGTCCACGGAGTGTAGTTTGAGCTCATCGACACGTTTTTTCGCGCGTGCAGCTTCACGAGAGCGTCCTCGACCCACGGTTGCAGGCTGATCTCGGTGCTGTTCAGCTGCGTCTCCGCCTCGTCGCGCTCGTCGCAGGATCCACAGATCAGTCGGAGGTCGTCGAGAGCGTCGAGTCTTTTGAGAACCTTTTTCCATCGCCACTTGATTGCATCTTTGCTTCGTTTGGTGGCGGATTCAAACGGCCACTGCTCTGCCACCTTTGGCAACGAGATGCCGTCTCGAACGTGGCGCAGCAGCACGAAGGCATCCATCTCCGGACGCCACGGGACGGCGCTGTGCTTCGATCGGCCGGATGCGTGGACGGCCATGAGGCTGCGACGCAGAGCACCGGGAAGAGGTGAAATGTAGTCCTCTTGCACCACTGGGTCGGACGAGAAGGGACCGCCGTTCATGGCAGCGAGAGCGTAGAGGAGCAACCTGTGCATCGCCAGCACAGAGCCAGCAAAGCCGCCTCGAATCGGTGAGGGGATCGTGGCGGCGATCGCTGGACGTGTCCCTTCGACGGTTGGGTTTTTGGAAAAATGCTTCCCAGAAGACTTGAGTTGTAAAATCGCTGTGCGCGGCCGGCGGCTTGAGCGCGCGCCCTAAGGCCTTCATGTCGCACCCGAGCGTCTCAGCGCCATCCCTGGGCCCTGCGGCAGCGGACCGGAGCGGTTGAAGGCGACTTGACGCGCCGCGCCTCACGCGCTGCGGCCGCGACGCCGCAGTGCCGCAGCGCCGTCGCTGCGCCAGGCTTCCGCGGCTCTGGGGGCGCGGCGACTCAAATAGCCGCGGTCAGGTGGTGTTGTCCACCAGTATGAACACACCCATGCGCGGCGTGGTCGGTTCTTCGCCACACATCGCTGGAAAGGTCAGCTGACAAGGGGCAAAACGGGCAAAAGGGAGTTTTCTGCCATCCCTCACGCTCACCAGCGCCGGCCGCACGCTTGCAGGCCACTTCTGAGCGGCTGAGGCAAGTCCTCGTGGTGGACAAGGATGGATCCGCGCCGCTTTGCCGGCTCGCGCCGCGCTGCTCGCCTCTCCGAGAGGCGATAGTCGACCTCCGCGCCCCCGCAGTGCGTGCAGCGGCTGGGCGCCAGGCGCGGTGCGGAGGGCCGCGGGGGGCCAAACTGGCTCCTGCTGCTCATATTTTTGACGTGTGTGTAGTCTATACAGTCTGTACACCAGCGCCAGTGCCGTCAGTGCCCACGCGAGAGGCGCTAATGCCTGTTTTTGCGCCTTGTCCGGACTGGCTGGGCGGTGGTTCACGGTTGGCGTGCAACAGGTCGATGGGAGGCCATGTCAGGAGAGAGGCATCGGAGAGATTTATTTTGTCTGATTGTGAGCACACACATCACACACACACACACATTCACACACCACACACACACACACACGCACACACACACACACACACACGCGCGCACGCACGCACGCACGCACGCACGCGCGCGCGCACGCGCGCGCGCGCGCACACACACACACACACACACACACACACACACACACACACACACACACACACACACACACACACACACACACACACACACACACACACACACACACACACACACACACACACACACACACACACACACACACACACACACACACACACACACACACACACACACACACACACACACACAATGTGGTCCAACAGCCTGCTGGCAACGGAAATCCACGCCGGCGAAATCAGGGCCCGGCTTGCGCAGGTCATCCGAGCCCCGGCGTCGTCTCCGGCGCGCGGAGCCTCCCGCTGCGCAAGCATACCCACTCGTCCCACCTCGAGTTCCAGCCCATGTAGTGGACTAACAGCTCGCGCGAGGTGCCCTCGCCGCGGGCGTCCAACGCCTTGGCGCCCGTCCACTGGCGAATGCGCACACAATAGCACTCCAAGCGGGCGCCCGCGGTCCAGCCGGCCCTCAGCGCGGGCTCTGCGTTTGCCGAGAGGTCCTCCTCCTTTGCCGGCGCGGCGTCGCTGCGCTTGGGCTTCTTGCTCCCCTTCTTGCTCACCGGCTTGCGCCGCTGCGCTGCCGCAGTCGCCGCGGCCGCCTCGGCGCCGTCCGCAACCTACTCAGGCGAGCCTCGGGTCGCGTCGGCTGGCACGTCCGGTCTCACGCCGGGAGAGGAAGGGCCGTCCAGCGCCTCTGGTTGGGCGGGTGGCGTGGCGCCGCTCGGTTGTTGCGTCGCGGCCGCCCTCGCCGCCTCTTGCGCCAGCGTGTAGCCCGTCCGGTAGGCCATGCGCCTCCTTGCGGGCGCAGGCGGCGGTGCCATTTGTGTAGTGCCCGGCAGGGGGTCGCTGATGGGCACGGTGGACTCCAGGATAGCAAACTCGTCGCCTAGGCTGCTGTCAATCTCGCATGCTGGCATCCGTGAGTCCGTCTGACTTATATGCTGCGAATTGCGTCTCGGCCGGCCTCGCTAAGCCAAGGTTTCGGCCGGCGCGAAAAGTGGCAGACCTTGATCCATATGGTTTCTTATATTACCCAAAAGCTAGGCGAAGTGGGTCGCGTCCTCCGATTTCCTCAACTCACGGTCCACACCCTTTAGCTACCTGCTGGGCCTCGCGGCGAGGGGCTTCCCACAGCCGGAGGACTGTGTCTGGGAGCCTCCCGCGGGATGACGCCCAATACTTCATTCCATTACAAAAAAGTCTTGCGTGACTCTCTCTAAATAGTAATCGACGGAGGTCCCCGCAGCGACAGAGGGTTCGGGATCATCCGAGAGATCCGAGACACGAGAGAGCTCGCGGGGACCCACTGTACTAAGGTCGGTATCCGTGGCCAGCCATTCTCCCCGCGCGCTGGAGCCAGGACAGCAGTCAGCCAGGCTCTCCCGCGACACCGTAGACATGCATCGAGGCCATCCTCGCTGTCAGCTCTCCAGCGTCGGCGACGGCTCCGCAAACGGGCCTCGCCGGCCGAGACCCCCCCCCCCCCCCCCCCATCCCACCCCCTCGCCCCTGCACCTCATCCTCGCACAGCGTAGCTGCATTCGCCTTTGCTCACGTCAAGGAAGAGACTGGGCCGCCTCCTCGCAGGAGTCGGCTCACGCGAGGGTCTTGGGCGCGTGGTGGCTCTCGCCGACGTAGCGGATGCCGGGCAGATGCCCGGGGGACGCGCCTTGTGTGCGGGAGGACGGGGCTAGGACGGTCGGGCGCGTGTGGGGTACAAGCGAGGCGGGGCAGGGCGGGGCAGGGAGCGGGGCGAGCGGCGCACGGGTCGATTTCTTCTTTTGCTGCGCGCCGGCGAGGCCGTACGCGGTGGTCGCGGCGCCGAGGACGCACACGGCGGCGATCACGAAGAGGATGCTCAGGAAGGCGTCGTTGAGGTTGGAGCACTGGCCGTTGAGGATGGCGCCTGCCCACGGGCGCCGCGCGAGCCGTCTTTGGCCGCCACTCTCCCCAAAGAGGCGCGCCCCTTTCGAGGGTAGTGGGAAGGGGGGGGGGGGGGGGGGAAAGGGGGGGGGGGGGGGTCCCCCAAAAGGGGCGTGCCCATGATTCCCCCCCTTTTTCCTTAAAAGGGAGGGGCTCGTGTTGTGGAGGGGCGGAGGCGCGTTTTCGGGCCGTGCCTCCGCCCTCTCGGCCGCGCCCATGGCGCTGGACAGGCCGTTGAGCGTCGTGCGCACCTCCTGCGGGTAGGCGACCGACGACATGACGTACGTGGTGACGTTCATCACCCAGAAGGAGCCGTACAGCAGGCCGTACCTAAAAAAGAAATACGGGGTAAAAAAGAAATACGTGATGGAAGGAGCCGTACAGCAGGCCGTGCAGGGTGATCGCGATGCCGAGCGCCGTCGGCGAGCCCGCGAAGCCCTCGTTCGGCGTCGGGTCCTCCTCTTCGTACAGGTGGAAGGGGCCCTCGAGGCGCGACGCGTCGAGGCGGCGCAAGTCTCCTGGCTGGAAAGGCGACGAGTCGAAGAGCTGGCGGTGGCCTCCTCCGCTCGCCGCCGCCTTGCAGCCGTCCTGCGGCACGATGAGCCCGTCCCAGAGCACGGCCAGCAGGGCCGCGATGACGGCCGTGATGAGGAAGCCGACCCACTGCAGCGTCACCTGCCGAGAGCGGGGGGCGGGGGCGAGGCTCGCGGGGAGGTGTGGGGCGCTCGGCCTGGCCCCGACCCAGAGCGAGCGTCGCGCCAGGTCGACGCACTGGATGGCCGACATGGTGAGGAGGGTGGCGAGGATGCCGACGGTGGAGACGGTCATGTTTGCGAGCGCCTGCTGCTGCACGTTGAGTCCGGTGAGGATGATCGACAGGACGCGCGGCTGGAGGATCGCGAGGCCGTAGTACGGGACGTCAAACAGGAACCAGCCGCCGGCGGTGCCGAGCAGCGTCCGCCACGGGCTGAGCGCGAGGATGCGCGAGAAGACCGACGTCTTCTCCGGCCCAAGCACGGAGGTGGAGAGGCGCCGGTTCATCGCGACCTCGCCCGCCACGGTGTGGCGGCGATGATTGGCGACGGAGGACGCCGCCGCAACGCGCGCGGACTGGGCGGCGGCGTAGGCCATCAGGAAGGGGCCGACCGAGCCGAAGGAGAGCATCACGCGCCACGAGACCGCCCACCTGCCGCCCGCGGGATGAAGGGCTCGCTTGCTACCCACCTGCCGCCCCGGGGCCCGCAGGGTGGGGGGCGAGGTGCGGGCGAGGTGCAGGCTCTGGCGCCGAGGGATGGGCTGGGCTCTACAAGGTCTGGGCCCCGGTGCACCCCGGGTTGTCGCTGTCGTGCGTGTCGGTCGGGTGGAAGGATGCGCCGGCGCCGGGGCCGAGGGAGAGGAGGAGGCCGATGACGTAGACAAAGATGATGCCGGGGTTCTGCCAGAAGAAGGCCCACCCCGCCTTGGTCGCCTTGGCGGTGACATCGGTGTCGTCGTGGCACGACTCGGCCGCCTTTGCGGCGGCGAGGGGGTAGACGCCGCCGCACCCCACCCCAATCAGGAGGCGGCAGGCGATGAGCAGGTACCACGCCTGGGCGGGGCGGCGTCTCTCAGCTCTCGGATCAGGCCACACACAAGGCTAAGTCTTGGCCAGAGTCTGGGCCGATCAGCCGCTGCGCCTGCATGTCTTCCTCCTCCTGCTCGAGGGCCAGCTGCACCGCTACGTCCACCGCGCCGCCCTCGGGGGAGCCGTCCGTGCCGGTCATGTAGCCCGGGATGATGGAAGACTGGAGGGGCGACGCGGGCAGGATGCCGGAGAAGAGCGCCCCGGTCCCCATCACGAGAAGCGTGAGCACCTGCAAGAGTGTGGTGTGTGGGTGAAGCCCGCCTCTGCCATTCTGAGCGGGCCGTGGGCGGGGGTTGGCGGCGCGTGCCATGGACGGGTCGCGACCGATGACGTCGCCGAGGCAGCCGAAGACGAGCATTCCGATGAAGGTGCCGATGAAGGCGGCCGAGTTCGCCATCTGATTGGCCGCCGGGTAGTTGCCGTACATGGAGTGCATCCAGAGGTAGCACCAGCCGATGACAGTGAAGTTGTACGAAACGAAGAAGCTCGAGACGAAGGGCACGTACGGCCCGAGGACCGACTGGGTGGCCACTGGGTCGGGCTGCTTGGCGATGCTGTGGGGAGCACCCGGGAAGAGAGTGCCGCGGCGCAGCTCCTCAAAGTCGTCATCTTCGTCGTCCGGCAGCGCCACGCCGAGGCCGTCGAGAGCCGAAGAGACGGTTCTGAGCTGCGTCTTGATCGCTGCGAGCTCCGCCTTGGTCTGGTCAAGCTCGGCCTCGACCTCTGCCGGCGTCCTCTTTGACGGGCGAGGCTCGAGGCCCATTGCCTTGGACAAGACGCGGCCGATGCTAGGAAGCGCGATGTCGGTGGTCTCGGCCATGATCACTGCGAGCTATTACTGTGCGCCACGAGACAGGGTTGGGATCGACAGGGTTGGACTGGCGGAGTCCGTCGGCCTCGGTGGCCGCTGATATTGAATATTGATTTCCACGGAATTCCACAAACGGAAAAAGTTTGTATTTCTTCCGATGTCCACTCCGCAGCACCGCCGTCGCCCTTCCAGTTTATGTGCCTCTGGGGCGCCCCCTCTGGGAACAACGTCTCGTCCTCCCTGAGTCTCCCCTCCTGTCGCTCCCTCTACCTACCTCCCTCTCCTGTCTCTGTAGTGCGTTGCGTGTAATTCTTTTGCGGTTTGCGGGGGGCATCGCCGTACTAAGCCGCAGGGGCATCTCGAGGCATATCGAGATGACTCGCGACGACCGCGAGTTTTCCATCGTCGTCTTCGGCGCCACGGGCGACGCGGGCCGCGCGGTGTGCCGGTACCTTGCCACCAAGCAGGGCGCGCGCCCTGTCAAGTGGGCGGTCGCCGGCCGGAGCAAGGCCAAGCTCGAGACACTCGTCAGCTCCCTCGGCGGCTCCTCGGCGCCGTCCGTGCTGCTCGCCGACGCGTGCGACGCCTCGTCGCTGCTGCGCATCGCGGAGCGTGCGACGCTCGTGTTCAGCGCCGTCGGCCCGTACTCCCGCCTCGGCGAGCCGATGGTCAAGGCGTGCCTCGTCGCGCGAACGCACTGGGCCGACATCACGGGCGAGGTGTTCTGGGTGGGCGAGATGGAGGCCAAGCACGGCGAGGCCGCCGCGGCGGCGGGCGTGACGCTCACCTCTCTCTGCGGCTACGACTCGGTCCCGTGCGAGCTCTCCCTCCATGTCGCGCGCAAGGCGCTCAAGCTCGGCGCGAGGCACTCTGAGCTGCTCGACGCCGAGGCCGTGACACAGCTCAACGTGCCCGAGGCGCCGCGACGCCCCGCCTCCCCGCCTCCCTCCTTCCCTCCCCTCCCTTTGCACCCGACTGGCGTCGATCGCGGCCTTCCCCTCCGCCGCGCATCCGCCTCGCCGCACCGCGGCCGTGCAAACAGCGAACGCTCTCCCGCGGGTGGCGCATGCCCGCGCGGCGGGGAAGCCCACCCCGCCGTCGTGAGTCCGACCTGTGACCCGCACACGCCTCCCCGTCGGCCGGCTTCGAGCCTCCCCCCCCCCCCCCCCCCTCCCCCACTGACCCCCCCCCCCCCCCGCCCCCCCCCCCCCCGCCCCCCCCCCCTCCCGCCCCCCCCGCCTCCCCCCCCCCTTCCGCCCCCCACCCCCCCCCCCCCCCCCCCTCACCCCCCGCCACCCCCGCCCCCACCCCCCCTCCCCCGCCCCCCCCCCCCATCTCCCTCCCCCCCCACCTACCCCCCCCCCCCCCCCCCACCCCCAGCCACCCCCCCCCCCCCCCCCCGGCCCCCCCCCCCCCCGTCCACCCCCCCCCCCCCCGCCCCCTCCCCCCCCCCTTCCCCCCCCCTCCCCCCCCCCCCCCCCCCCCCCCCCCCCCCCTCCCCCCCCTCCCACCCCCCCCCCCCCCTCCCCCCCCCGTCCGGCCCCCCCCCCCCCGTCCCCCCTTCCCCGACAGCCCCCCCCTCCCCCCCCCCCCCGCCCCCACCCCACCCCCACCCCCCCCCCCCCCCCCAGCCGTCCCCCCCCCCCCCCCCCCCCCCAACCCCCCCCCCCTCCCCCCCCCCCCCCCCCCCCCCCCCCCTGCCCCCCCCTCCCCCCCCCCCCCCCCCCCCCCCCCACCCCCGCCCCCCCCCCCCCCCCCCGTCCCCCCCCAGCCCCCCCCCCCGCCCCCCCCCCCCCCCCCCCCCCCCCCCCCCCCCCCCCCCCCCCCCCCCCCCCCCCCCCCCCCCCCCCCGCCCCCCCCGCCCCCTCCCCGCCCCCCCCCCCCCCCCCCCCCCCCCCCCCCCCCACACCGCCCCCTTAGTACCCCCCCCCCCCCCCCCCCGCCGCGTCCCCTCACCCCCTGGTCACTACCCGACACTAGAAGAGCAGCAAGAGTTGGGGCTGCGGCTACGGCTGCGGCTGCGGGAGGGGCTATGGTCGCGGGAGAGCCGCTGCGCCGCGTGGGCGCGCCTACACCGCGCTTGCTCCGCTCGCCACCTCTCGCAAAGGTCCAAAGTCATAGCCATCACCTCCTCCGGCAAGTCCTTTTCGCCTATCTTGCCGTCCCTCCATGCCTGGTAGAGCTCGTCGTCATAGCCATATTGCATCACAGCCTGCTGCACTGCGTCGTGCACAACCCCTGCCACCCTATCCCGCGCCTCAGCGTCGGAAAATTCGAGCTCGGAGTCATACCCGGAAGCAGGCGCAGACGGCCGCGGCGATTTGGCAGGCGGCGAGGTGGGGGAGGGAGAGCGCGGCGGTGCGCGCTCGTGGCTCCCGCTGGTGCCAGAAGGGCCAGCGCCCAATGCGCTCAGCCTGTTCTTGTCCACCACCTTGGGAGAAGGGGGTGGGGGTCCACCTCCCTTGGGTGCGGGCTTGCGGTGTTCCTGCTTCCGCTTGCCCGACTTTGGCGGGTTGCGGCCGAAGTTCTTCATGGTGAACCTGTCCGGCTTGCCGCCCTTCCCGACCCTCGTCCACCCCTCGGGCGACTCGTTGGGCCGGGGTTGCTGCGCCTGTTGGTGCTGCGAGTGTGCCTGCGATGCTGCGGCCGGAGCGGCAGCGGCGGCAGGCGGTGCCACGGGCGGTGCGGCGAAAGTGGCGGTAGGCTGAGGCTGCGCAGCGTCCTGCGCGGCCCGCTGCCTGGCCTCATCCTCCCGCCTCTTCTCAGACTTGGCCTGGATGATGTACTGATACCCAAGCGGCACCGGGTTGATGCTGACGGAGTGCCAACCGTACCTCTCCATGCGCTCCGCGAGACAATCAATCATCGCGTGGTCGCGTGGCGACACCTTCTGGCCGAGGACGCGCTCGACCATCCGGATCTGACGCACGTGGAACGGCTCCAGGCCCGGCATGGAAGCCTCGGAGTCGGACATGGCCCCGTTTCGCCGTTTTTGAAAACACACCGGGTATTCCCCAGGTATACCCGGGTTTTTTCAGAGGGCCGACTGCACGCTAAAGGCTACACGCTCGCACACCACTTGCAGAGTGGCTCTTCCAGGCGCTCACCCCACCCAGAGGCACGCCAGGCCCCGGGCAGCCGGCCGTCACTCGCCTAAGCGCCTAAGCGGCCTAAGCGGGGGGTGCTTAGGGTGCTTAGGCGCTTAGGCCGGCCCTTGCGAGCGTGGCGGCGTCGTAATACAAGTGACTCCGATGGAAATCAGATGCCCCTGCTAGTGTCATCGCTCAGAGAGCAGCCTCACGCACGTCCACTGTCTACCACTGGCCCTGGTTGCACACTGCCACTGAACTGCGCTGGTCCGCAGGCTGGTGCGGGAACTCAGCATCAGGTAGTCGAGAAAGATCGCGGAAGGTCGAGTCGAGGAAGAGAGCAAGATCAGGGGCGGGTCCGGTAGACCGGTCCGCGGCGCTATATGCGTGGCAAATGACGCGAAAAGTGCCCACTGAAGCTTCCGCGCCTTGACTTCACGTTGAGCTGTGATGATGCCCACAGCCCAGCAGCAAAGGCGGGCGGGCCGACCCCGCGGCCGTCGCCGCTGCCGCCGCCGCCCCCTCCGCCGCCACCCCCTCCGCCGCCGCCCCCTCCGCCGTCGTCGTCACCTTGGGCTGCATCACCCGCGCCGCCGTCGTGCACCGGCTCTCGTGCTCATTCAACGGCGCCTCGAGCTGCAGGCCGGCGGCACTGGCGTTGTCGTGGTCGGGCTGCCCAACGTCGGCGCGGGAGGGAGGGGGCAAAGCCGTTATGGAGAGCGCGAGAGCGAGCGCCAAGAGGGCCCAGATTCTGAGCAGCAGCCCGCCTGGTCATCGGCCCACTTGCCGACGTGCGTCCAGCATTCCAAATAGGACGAACGCCGAAGTTTGCTCTCCGACGCCGTGCCGAGCGAAACCTTTTCCTTCGAAGCTCAGCGACGTAGCCGGGCGAGCGGAATAGGGCAGCCCTAGAGAGCACCTTGAGGCCATTCAATAGAGCCCGTGTTATAGTCGAGGGTCGATCGCCGGCCGGCGCAGTGCTGCTCTGACCGCTCCGCCGGGCCGCCTCCGGGCCGCTGCCGCGGAGACGTGCACATAGGCAAGTTGGTATTTTCATATATGAACTTCAAAATAACATTGGCTAATCTAATTCTACTCATCACGACTCGCCAGAAACACCCACACACTATGGGGTCATTGTGTAGCCCTGCTTAGAAGGAAAAGGTTTACTGCAAGGTCCGTATGCCTTACCGTGTAGTCGGCCCCATGCACAGAGGGTTTGTCGTATGCTTAGGTAGGGGAGTATTCCTTTCTTCGCCTTCCTATCAAGTAACCTGACTAGCTATGCGTGCCGGATGGAGCCCGCTCGGGAGATGTGTGGCAGACCCGTTGGCCAGTGTCTTGTCTTGGTGGTTCTGCGTGTGTCGTCACCGCCCGAGGCCCGTCTTGCGTCCACCCATACCGGACACCGCGCTGGTGTCCTAGTCGTTGTGGTCTGACTGTGTTTAAACTCTCTCGAGCTTCGTAACTACCTAACTAGCTGTTTTGACTTTTAAAAACCAACTAACCAACAGCGGAGTCCTTCCGGTTGGCTGCGGCGCCCAGGCGACACTCAATATGGTAGGAAGCTAACGGACGGGCTCCCAGACGCAGTCGTCCGGCATCGCGAAGCCGTTGGCTAGCTTGTCGAGGAAGACTCGGAAGCCGTAGAGGTCGATGATCTGGCCCTTGAGCGGGTTGGGCGGCGGGTCGTGCGGCGGGAAGAAGAGCCACCCCGGCACCTCGGGCGCGCAGAGGCACGGGAAGAGGAAGCAGGCGCGCCACGAGATGTGGATGAGGAGGAAGACGAAGGTCGTGCTGATCATAATGCAGCGGACCGCGGCCTCCGTGTGCGGCGGGCAGATCGCCTGGCCGGCGAAGCAGTAGGGGAAGGAGTGCAGGAAGAAGGCGTAGAGGAGGATGAGGGCCGGGACGGACCACTGCCAGAGATAGCCGAGCTCGAAGCCCCATCCGACCATGTTGCCAATCATGACGACCCAGAAGCTCCACATGTAGAGGTAGAAGGCGGCGTCCATCTCGTCGACGGCGCGCTTGCCGGCATAGTACTGGGTCGTCACGTTGATCTGGTCCGGAGTGAGGCAGAAGAGCCAGTGCACGAACCAGAGGGAGATTTGCTGAAACTTGATGATGACGTCGAGGATGACATAGTACTTTGCGAGCTGCACCAGGTTGGCGCCGTAGTGGAAGACGAAGGTGGCGGGGCCGATGAACGGGATGTAGGCTGGGATCACCACCGAGTGCACCTCGACCCAGATGGCGAACCAGAGGAGCGAGCAGTACGCCTGCGCGCGGGCGGGGGCGACGCTTTGCGGCACAAGAGGGCAAATCTAGAGGGCGCCAGTCTCGGGGGGCGGTCCATGTCCGGGGCAGCACTGGCGCGCACCTCGTTGTTCGCTTCTCGCCGCGCAGCGAGCGAGCGGAGCATCATCCGACCCTGGTAGAGGCTTCGGAACCAAGCGGTGAGGCCGGAGCTCGCGATGTAGCCGAGCACAATGAAGGGGAAGATGAAGTAGATGAGCAGGGTGGCAGCCTTTTGCGCGACCCTGCGGGGCGAGGCGACCATCACACGCTCATTGGGGTCGCTCCGGGCCGCCTAACCTAGCGCGGGAGAAGAGGCCGTCTGGCATCTAAGCATGCGGACGGGTGCTTGCTGAGAAGATAGTCTTCCCAGTGAATCAGCTTGCTGTGCAGCTTCCCGCCACCGTCGGGGACCTTGCTGATGAACTCGATGTCAAAGAGCCCGTCCAGCAGGATCCACTCAAACAGGACCGACACCGGCATCCAGATCATCACGGCGACCTGGTGCATGTTGCAGGAGATGCAGTTCCACCCTGCGGGCCGCGTCGCACAGAGCCGCTAAGTGAGCCGGCGCGGCGAAACATGAATTGTGGGGCGCCGGTGAGGCGTGAGGCGGGAGGCCGGCGGCAGGGTGAGCACTCACACATAAACTGTGTCATCGGCCACGAGCAGCGGCAGCCGAGCCAGTTGAGGATGATGGTCGAGCGCGAGCGGCCAGGGAAAGGGACTGGAAAGGGGTAGGGCGTGTTGAGCGTTTCGGCCCGTTCCTTCTCCAGCGTGTTCCCCGGCTCCCACACCGCCCTGAAGGGCAGCGCCTGTTGCTCAGGAGGCACTCCGTCCACAGATGGCACCACATCCGCCTTGTCAAAGCCGGTCAGCTCGATCAACGCCAGGTCGGCAAACTTGCGCGAGCAGCCCATGTAGATCCCCCACAGAGGGAAGAAGCCGCTGTCGAACAGCTCGTATCTGCTGCTGTCAGCGGCATACTCCGCCGCCGCCGGACTCAGCAGGAACAACGGCAAGATCTCGTTCTCCTTGGGCGGCGCCAGGCCCTGTCCCGGGTCAGCGGTGAGCCAGCCCGACTGACCCGTCTGCCAAATGTCGTTCTCCACGAGAGGAAGCATTTCTTCGTACACGTCCAGAGAGCTAGGCGGCACGTTCCCGCCCACCATAGCCAGCCGGCGGCGCATGTCCTTCACATAGCCCTTGTATTTTTCGACCTCTTCCTTCGCCGCCGCAGCCTCCGCGATCGCGCTGGCAGCGGAATCTCCCATCGACGGTAGTCACGGAGACTAGCCAATGACTCGTGCAGCTCGTGCAGCTCCCAAGACCGTTCACAAACGGCGACGCCCAACTGGGCCAACTCCACCCTAAAGCGGCCCGGGAGGAGGAGGCCGTCGGACCATACTGAGCCGCCTTTTTTTGTCAAAGAAAAACCTCCGCATCATTATCCGCTGGGCGTTCGGGGAGCCTGAATGGCAAAGCACGCCACAGACCTCACGCTTCATAGCTCCCCGGCCCTGGATGTGAGGCTAATGATGCACTCCAACCAAGTGCGTATGTCCCAAAAGAGCCAGGTGCGCTGCTATATCTCTCGGTGGCACAGGACGCGGCACGTACGGACTCGACCGCTCATCTCCCAGGCAACGCGCATCGGTCGACAACCTGTATCACGACACCACCCGCAGAAAGAGCACGCTGCCGAGCAGGAGGCACCCGTTGAGGATGAGGAGCTGCTGCGCGTCGCCGCCAATCTCCTCGCCGCTCCAGAGCGAGGCCGCGCCCTCGCCGAGGGTGTCGAGCTTAGTCCTCACCGCCCGCGCCACAACCTCGAATTTGGAGTGGCAGCGCTCCTCCGTCAGCGCGCGAGGCAGGTTGCTGGCGGTGGCGGGCACGTCGCCGAGCGCGCCGGGCGACGGCACGACCTGAACACACGTCGCCCACAGCCCGTTGATGAGCTCCGGAGATCCAGGCGGCGAGTTGCCCAACGTCAGGACCGCGTCGTCTCCGACGGTGACAAAGCCGACGAGGACGTACCGCTTCCCGGCCGTCACGTCGACGCCGCGGTGCAGGAGCTTGGACGGGTGCATCACGACGCTGCCGCGGTCCGCTCGGAGCGGCTGCGGGAGCAAGTCAAACTCGACGCCTCCGCCGCTGAAGCTCTCCGGCGAGCTGAGCGCCACGCTTATGCTCAGCGTCGTCTCGTCCGTGTGCCACTTGAGGCCGGCTTGCCCGCCGCTCGAGCTCGAGTAGCGGATCAGGAAGAGGTCCGACACGGCGAGAGCCACGCCGTCGGCGATACCAAAGGAAGCGCGGAGGAGCGGCAGCACCCGCTCCTCGACGCTCCGTGGCAGGTTAGCGAGGCCCGGCAGATCGTAAACGCTGAAATCGTCCGTCGGGTAAAGCGCGTGCCTGGTTCGCGTCCAGGCGTTGGCCGACTCTGCGAAGGCGACTGCATCCGAGCACTCTTGCTCGGAGAAGACGTCGAAGCCGACAAATATTTTGGCGGGCGGGTGGCGGTCGAGCTGAAGCCAGAGGAGGTAGGCGCTCGCGAGAGCGAGCGAGTAGCTGAGCAAGAGGCAAACCATAAGAGCGAGCAGCTGAGCAAGAGAGAGGATGCTTGCTTGGTGCGTGTGCGGACAGATTTTCACCCTTGGGGGACCCGCTGTGTGCGGGGCGGGCCCCTGCTCACAGCTGGGATGCCCAGGAACGACGGCAAGAAACCCAAGGGTGAAGGACAGATTTACAACAAAACTCCCTCGCATCTTAGCTCCCTGGCCCTGGATGTGAGGTTGATGACTGCACTCCAAGTGCTCCAAGTGCACACGGAACATGGTCGAGGGGCATGGGCCCTACCGCGCGGAGGGAGAGGGAGGCGAGGGGGGGGAGGGGGGGGGAGGGGGATGGAGGGGAGTGCGAGGGGTATGGGGGCGAGGGAATGGATGGAGAGAGGAAGAGCAAGGGCGAGAGGGGGCAGGGGACTGGTCGGTGGCATATTAACTAGGGGAGGCAGGGTGGTGGGCGGCGATCGCCGCGTACCGTCCTATGGTGGCGAGTATCGCTACGCCAAGGAGGACAAGGGTGTCGATGTGCGGCTGCTGCTGTTCGAGTCGTTCGGTGGGTTCGGGAGGGGGGTCCGTGAGATCCTCCGGAAGGCGGCGAACGTGCTGCAGAACAAGCTGACGCGGGCCCAGTACCTCGATGAGGTGACTTGGACCACCAAGAGCTGGCTGGGGCTGCAGAAGCAGCGCATCTCAGTCGTTCTTCACACGGCCATCGCAGAGCAGATTGTGAATGAGCTTGCCAATGGCGAGGGCGGTCGAGTGCACGGAGCTAAGTGCCTCGCCGTCCTCGCCGGAGTCGCTTAGGCGGCTCCACCTCCAGTGGTGTACCTGTGTTAGTGCCAGTGCGCGCCAGTCCCGTGCCCAGTCCTGTGCCCAGTGTTGTGCGGACAGATTTCTTTTTAGAAAAAAACCTTCCCAGCCAGCTGCCTCGAGACGATTGCCAACAGCGCCGAACGAGAGGCAGAGCCAGGCTCGCGGACTGGGCCAGCCCCGGGCGACACCCACGTCGAAGCGCCATGGTCTCCGCCAGCGAGCCGCTCGCCGACAGCGGCAGCTGCAGCGTCGGCTTGTCGCAGCCACGCAGCACATTCCTCGCCGGCCCGCGACGACGAAGACGCCCCATCACTCGCCGCGCCCTGCCGCCGTGTAGATGACTCGGGCGTGAGAAGGCAAACACGCCCCGCGCCGCCTCGAGAAGCGGCGCGCCGCCTGCACACTGCGCCAGCGCGCCAAAGAGAGTCGCGCTGCAGCGGAGCTTGAAGGCGTCGACTGGCCCCGCAACCCACATGCCGTCGTCCCTCGGCGCGTTGGCGTGCGCTGTTGGCGTCACCGACGCGATGCGCCCGCATCGGGAAGACCCACCAGACCCAGTGGCGAGCTCGAGGAGGAGCGTGGCGAGCTCGCATTCGGGCAAGGCGGCGAGCTCTGTCAGCGCTGCCTCGCGCGGCCGGCGCTAGGCGTCGGCCGTCCACGCCAGCCGTGCGGCGGGCTCCGCTGACGGCGGCTCAGTGACTCCCAGCGGCGACGGCACCTCCGGTACCCGAGGCCGAGGGCGGCGGCGGCGGCGAGACCGAGGGGAGCTCCCAGCGCACGGGAGGGAGGCCCTTGCTGGTGCGCTGCAGGTCCTTGGCGCTCACCCGCACGGGCAGCGCCACACCTTCAGCGGCGCCCACCTCCGAGGTGAACGGCCCGCCCAGGACGATTAGCACGCCAAGCAGGACGACAACAAAGCCCACGACGTGGTTCCAGAGCAGTGGCTGTTGGAGCACCTTGATCTGGAAAACGAGAAAGGAGACGAGGACGGCGAGCTCGGCCAGGCCGCGCAACTGCGCAGCACTGAGGCCGGCGCTCGCGCCGATCCGGTTGCCTGGCACCTGGAGGCAGTACTCGAAGGCCGCAATCGCCCACGAGATGAGGATGGCCTTCGGCATGCCCCAGCTGTGCGCTCGGAGGTGAAGGTACCAGGCACAGACCATCACACTGCACGAAGCGCAAAGCAGCAACGCCGCCAAGGCGGCGCGTGGCCAGTCGACATGGTCGGTCATCTGCCGGCAAGGTGGGACGTGCGTGTCCCTTCCTCGGCTTGGTTAAATCGCGCTCTGGTCGCGTTCGGTCGCCAGCTCTCCAGCTCGTCGTTTGGTCACCGAGGAGTCGAGCGAAAGCACGCCTCAAACTCCAGGACGTGCCACCTGGACGCATCCCTCCTTGTCCCACTTATAATGCGTCAGGCGAGAGTCGCCCGCGTTCCGGCGTTTTTCATATTTCTCCTCCTCCTATTCTACTAGCCCCGGCTTTTGTCGTGCTTTGTAATTTTTTTCGAGCTTAGCCTTCGATGTTATGAAACAACCGCAAGGCGAACACACGCACATTGCTCTCGGGCCCACAGACAGACATCCCGCACACCCGCCGCCCCCCCCGCCCCCCCCGCGCGCCCCACCCCGGCCGGGAGAAAGGGGAGTGACATAAATAAATAAATAAATACAACGGGCATCCCAAGCTAGGGCTGGGTCGAGGACAGACACGTCCCCACCTTTGCAGGATTTTGCAAAAGCGAGGGGGGAGGGCGCATCGCCGCGCGGAGAGGGCTAAAAGAAAGAAAGAAAACAGACAACCCAAGGGAGGGATGGGAGGACGGCACGCCGCCACCACACAGGGATTTTAAGGAGAGGTGTGTGGTGCGCTAGCCGTCGCCCACCCTAGGGAGTCTGCCTCTTCCTATCTCTCTTCGCAGTCTCTCGCCGATTCTCGCTGCAACCTTCATGCCACCTCGCGGTCGTCCCACTCTCGTCGTTCTCTCCCTTGTCACTTCGCGGAGAGGGCTGGGTTTGGGATTCTACTTGCCGTGCTATTTTTTTCTGATGCGCTCAGTTTCGCTTGTGGCCGACGGGGTGGCACGCTGCCACCTTGTGCACCTCGGCCAGCGGCCTCTGCACGATTGCCAACAGCACCGAACGAGAGGCAGAGCTAGGCTCGAGGACTGGGCCAGCCCCGCGACGCCACCATTAGACGATGTCGCTTCCCGGCGACGACGCCGTCTGGGCCCGCCTCGATGAGCTGCCATCACGGCTCACTGCTCCCGCGACCGCTTCTGTGCGCTACGAGGACCAGAAGGCGGCTGCCCGGGAGGCCTACGAGTCAAGCAAGGAGGCCGTCTCACTTGCCAAGGACGACCTCCTGCAAATTATGCTCAGCACACACGAACAGCTCCGAGCGCTTGAGAGTGACAATGGGCGGCCCACCCGTCCTTTCGAGCCTGCGTCGGCGGCACAGGACACAGAGGCACTGATGGCGGAGGCGCGTGAGTACAATGAGGATCTGACGGTCGGTGAGGGCATCGGCTGGCTCAACAACGACGAGGAGGGCTACCGTCCTCCAACCTATTCCGAGGTTTGCCACTCTCGCCGACAGCCATCTCTGCTTGCACTCTCTCACCCCGCTCCCGCCGCGCACAGTGCCTCCCCGTATACCTGCTGAGCCCCACCGCCAACGACTTCGTCGACAAGAGGATCGAATCGGGCGAGTTCGTTGAATGGAACACGACGAGGAACGCTGCATTACCCACAGCAGCTCCCGCCTCCCTCACTCACTCACCGACTTCCGCCTCCCCGCCCCGCCCCTGCAGCCTTCCAAAGATGTGCATGGCGCTCGCTATCAGCCGCAGGCTCGGCGCAGACGAGCTCGCTAACATCACCGGCTACCGGGACGGCAAGCCCACGACCGCCTACCCGCTGCTCGCCAGCTGGGACGCGAACCCGGCGGCAAACGTGTCTCAAGTCAACGCACCGCAGCCGATCTGGGTGCCGTTCCTGTCGGGCTCGCGCGGGCTCGTGTTTGACTGGCTGGGCTGCCGGTGCGCCCGCCGCCATATGCGCCTTGCCTCGCGCAGCTCCGAGTCCTCGCCGAGTCGCCGCCTCCCTGCCGCCTGTCTGCCGCCCCTGCCGCACCAGGTGCTCGTGGCCAGTCTCGCAGCAGTGCTGGTCCCTGATGGTCGGGTGCAACATCCACCAGTACGTGCTCAACGTCTGGATCTGCGTCACGCTCGGCTTCGAGCTCTTCATGCTCGACGCGCTCGTCTCCTCCGCCTTCATTGCAAACTGCCCAAACAAGGAGAGGAAGAGGAGCGCGCTCCCTGCAAAACGCGTCGCTCGTCACACGCCCCGCCGTGCTACGAGCAGGTGTTCGAGTGGGAGGACTACCTGATCTGGGACAAGCCGCTCTCGGTCACCGCCGCCGCGCTCCTCACCTACTTGATCTTCCCCCTCTTCACCATCGGCTACCTCGCCGGCAAGAACGACAAGCGAATGGGGGGTTCTGGCGGCGTCGACCAGTCCTACTTTGCAGGCGTCTGGCAGAGCAAGATCCTGCTGCGCTCGATGGCGGCGCGGGAGGAGGCGGGCGCGTATTCCTACTGCACCACCCTCTTCTACGCGGTGGCCATGGAGTTTCACTGCGTGATCATCCCCGCCTATATTCCCTTCATCTGCCCCGCGCTCGTCATGTTCCAGTACGAGGCCGCGCTGCACAACATCGCAAAGTTCTACATCATGCTCGACGTCATCCTCAAGTGGCCACCGCACCCGGGCCTAGCCCCTCCCGTCCGCCTCCCCTGGACTCGCCCATTGCCCCCCCCCCCCCCGCCCACCCCCCCCTTTCGCTCGCAGGTTTGGGACCAACGGCCTCTTCTTCGCCTGGTTCCTCTTCTGCTTCAACGAGGGCCAGATAAGCGTGACGAGAAAGTACGTCGCAGGCCCGAGGGCGGCGGCGGAATGGCGGAGCATGAAGTTCGTCTACACGTGGGTGTCGCTGATCGGGACCTACCTGATGATCTTTAGCGTCAAGACCTACTTCACCATCCTCTACCTCTGGTTCATCCCGCTCTTCATCACCATCTTCGCCTTCTTCGGGCACGCGCTGCCCTACCTGATGCACGGCGCCGCCGCCTGCCCGCCGCACACGGGGCCGGCCGTCGAGCTGGTCGGCATCGCCACCACCCTCATCTTCCTCGCCGGCTTCCTCGTGGCGCGCGGCTGCTGGCTCTTCCCGTGCCTCTGCGCGCCCGAGGTGCCGGGGTGGCTCTTCTTCCCGCCGCACGACCCGCCCGACAACCCGCTGCAGGGCGACGTCGACTGGGACGCCTTCCAAATCTTTCTCCGCCACATGTGGCGCGGCTTCCCTGCGGCCGAAGACTGCGTCTGGGAGCCACCGACTTGGGACTTCTCGGTGCACAGAGGCGCTCACCTTCCGCCGAAGGGCAGCAAGGGTTGACTTATACGTACCGTGCACTCTATTAGCGGAGAGGGAGTTCCGGAGAGACGTTCAGAGAGAAAGAGAGAGCAGAAAAGGCGCAATACAGGGGCAGTGGAAGGATTAGAGAGAGACGTTCTAAAGAGAACGATAGAAAGAGGGTAAAAAAGTATCAAATGACTAGTTGGAAGAGTTGCAAATAGAAATACGGGGGTGGTGACTGGTGTGGAAATGACCACTTTTGATGTTTTTGTGTCCGTGTTGCTCCCAGCGCCCTCGCCCGCGCTCCCTGAGGCCATGGCTGGTGCTACTAGTATGGGGTACTACCTGGATACCGCGAGAGCGACCCAACTCGTCGACATCGTCCGATGATGGTGCCCCAAAGTAGCTTCCGGAGGCTATCGTGGGGTCGAGCCGGCAGTAGCCGTGACATGTGGTTCCACCACCCCTCGCAGGCTTTGCCTCTGACCGCCACCGTTCCCAGGCTGTCTAATGGGATGGAAAGGAAGGCTGGGCGAGCGTATAGAAGCGTGCTCGACCTTGTCGTGGCAACCTGCACGGCAGCGCTGGCAGGCGCGATGAGCGTCGTGCCACCTGACCCGAGACGGGTCGCAGGCGTCGTACCGAGCGCGTCGAGACCGTGTCCTGATGAGCTCTGCACGGGTGAGTCACGTCGGCGTCAAAGGAGCGACGTGTGACCTGTCAGAGCTTGATCTCCGATCTCAGCGGCGTCGAGTCGCCTTCGGCGGCGACAGCTAGGATGCATCTCCTCCGTCGTTTTTCGCGCTACGGCCCTGAGAAGCTGGCGCCGCACGCAGGCGGACCTTGTGTATGCGGCGAACGCTTAAAAAATGGGTGCTCTACGTCACTTTTTTTGAGTAGATAGTGCCGAGCTGGCCGTGACAGCGATTTTGGTACCGGTAGTTTTGGGCGGGTTTTGGGCGGGTTTTGCACCACAGACTTTTTGCAACTTGAGCACTTGAGCACTTGATAGGGTCGATTCCGCATGGTACGGGACTCCTCGATCGTCTCGCCCTCCCTCACTGGTGTGTTCATTGGGTGGGGTCATAACAAACTAGTCAAATGTTCATGTCAGTAACAGCGTCACGTCACGACACCAGAAGAGCGACAGAAGAGCGAGAGACACAGGTCACAGCTCACAGGTGACCAGACGCTCTCGACGCACGCACAAGAAGTGCTTCTATTGTTCTAATGTACCGTGCTCTGCTGTCTCGGACCAGACTTGCCCTGAGACCCCTGTTCCCCCTCTCCTCCCAGCTGGTCCCTTGCGCCTTGCCCTTGGCCTTGCGCGCCCCTCGGCTCGTTTGGAGGATTCGCTGTTTTGTGTTTGGCTTTCTTTCTTTCATTCGAAGTGGATCTTCATTCTTCTTCTTTTTCTGTACATGCTTTCCATTCTGCACTCACACGGGGCTGGCTAGCTCCTGGTACTTTGTGCGCTGCTCTTTGGCGAAACGCCGAGCCGTTGCCGCGCTCGTCGTCGGCGGCTTGGGCGTCGCGATCCGGTCGATGGTCGCCGACGTGCTCTGCACACGGTGGGGCGGGCGGCGGCAACTTAGTACCCGGCTTCAACTCTGATGTCGCTTCTCTATGGGAGCCACATGCGGCGCCGGCTAGGGTCGTGGCGAGAGGGGAGAGGAGGCGCGCAGGCCGCGCACCGCGCTGTCCGTCGCCGGCTCTGAGACGCAGCACCACGCGCCCGCCTCTGCGGACAGGTAGGCGCCGACGCGCAGCGTCAGGTAGATGGGCGCAGCCACGGCGGAGAGGAGGAGGAGGACGCCGAGTAGGAGAAGGGCCATCGGCACCTGAGGTCGGGGTGGGTGGGAGGGGAGGCTGAGACGGGACAGCCCTGGGCGGGGGCAGGGAGCTGCGAAGGACGGGAGCGCGAGCGCCAGGACGAAGAAAGTGAGCATCAGGGTGCCGTTAAAGTACACGCGGCTCCACGTCAGAGCCCGGGCGCCGCTGAAGGTGCGGATCGTGTACTCAAAGTCGTCGAGCCCCTTCTCACTGCCGTCCTTGAGGATCAGCAACCGGTCGGTCGCACCGACTTGCTTGTCGGGAAACTTTGATGTCTGGAGGCGGAACCACGAGACGAAGCTGGAGGTGTCGCCCCCGAACCACTCCTCGAAGATGAGAAAGTACTTGAGCTCGTTCCACACCGCGTCCAGGCTCGCCTTCTTTGCGACCGCCGGGCTCTCTAGCAGGAAGGCGGTCACCGCCGGGAGGATCGTGGCGCCGCTGTGGAGCGCTCCGCCGTAGGTGCCCTTCTCGGCGCAGCACGCCGGGAGCCACGGCGACATGTTGAGCCACGCCTCGAGGAAGGGGAAGGTGAGCCAGCGCAGCCACTCGTTCTTCCGCACGCGCACCTCGATCAGGTTGCCCGGCCGGCGGTTCCATGGCAGCACCTGTGGTGGCGAAGGCGCACAGTCTGACGGCAAGTCTCGTGGAGAGGGTGAGGTGCCACGGCGGCGTCCCGCGCCATCTGGGCGACGGGGTCGAAGCGCATGATGAAGTTGAAGGTGCTGGGCACGTTCTCGTGGATCCAGGCCTCGAAGGCGGGGTTCGAGATCTTGGTCGGGGCGAAGGCGTACACGCGGACAGGGCCGTCAGGGGCGGCGGCCTCCTGGCGGTGGAGAAGCGCGCTGCTGACGTCCCATCGCGTCTCGTGCGTCCACGCGCCCGACCACTTGACGACAAACTGCTCCGCGTCCTGATCGAGCGTGATCGACAGCGTCGACGCGGTCGGGTCGCCCTTTGTGAAGGCGTCAACGCTGCTGCTGGTGTCGTTGACCTCGAGCGCGTCGATGTGACCGTCCTTGAGCGCGCGCAGCCCGGCGTCGAAGCCCACCAGAAGGGCGGCGAGGCAGATCGAGACGGCGCCGCCCTGCGAGTGGCCGGTCACGGTCACCTGCTTGTAGTCGCCGATGCGGTACACGCCTTTCATCGCATCGAGGAGGAGGTATGTGAAGAGGACGCCCATCGCGCGGTCCAGGTACTGCCCGTGAACCATCAGCTGCGCGAAACGACGGTTGCTCTTAATGGCGACATCCTCGCCGCTGCTCCTCTTGCCGACAAAAATGTGGTCGGTGCGGACTTGTCCCGCAAAATTGCGCCTCGCGTCCTCCACATTGTTAATGATCGTTCCGCGGTTGACAATAACGAGCTCCTCGGAATTCCTTCCGCGAGTCTTTGCAAATGCTATGTTGCTCGTCCCGACGGAGATCAGGCTCGGAGAGCCTTCCACGCGCAGTGCGTTCACGAGTCGCAGTCCGACGTCGTCCTGATACGCGAGCCCCATCGCGAGCTGGCTGCACTCGAGCGCAGAGTCGGCATCGAAGGTGATTGGCAGCGTCATCTCCGTTGTCGTTGTCTTGTCCGTACACTGCATCGGGCGAGGAGCAGGCCGGTGCGAGGAGCACGGGGCACAAGGCGGCGGCGAGGAGCACGGGGCACAAGGGTGACCCCGCAAAACGCCGCTCTTCCAGTTGAATTCTTAAAAAATACAAGCCTCTCTCACAGCACACTGGCAGAAGAATTCAAGCTATCCACAAGTGCTCTCAGTGTGTGTGTGTGTGTGTACTCACTCACACCTCTCACAGCACACTGGCACAACAAGGGTGGTGACGCTCTCGAGGCTCTCGAGGTGTCGAGTGGAAGCCCTTTTTCCCTGAGGGAGGGTGTAGAGGATGTAGAGTGTAGAGCGCTGTAGAGCTGTAGAGATGTAGAGCGCTCTGGAGCGCTGTAGAGCTGTAGAGCTCTACATCCGGCGCGGGACAGAGCGATGCAGATGTAGAGCACTGTAGAGCGCGATTTTGCTGTAGAGTTTGTTGTAGAGGCTCTATGGGCCGGGGGTGGTATCGGTATTTCACGTTCTGCGTCCAGGGAGGACCGTAGGAGGGGAGGTGCAGGTGGAAGGGCCGCCAGCAGGTGGTCATGCCTTAAAACTAAAGACGTTGGACAGGGTGGATGGTGCAAGGTGGCCCGCCACAACAACCACTGGAATGAATTTGCGACTCGTCGCAATCAAACTGATTTACGTTGTCGTTGATACTTGATTATGAATTTGTCAGAATTTTGATTTTTGTGTGAGCTCCGTGTACCGTCCGTGACCCGCCGCCGCCTCAGCCCTGTGTGTGTCTTGCTTTGCCAACAACAACATACCTAAATCAAAAGATCGGCATGGGGTGGTGCGTCGGCAAGACATTGGGTAGTGGCGCATCGGGCAGACCAGTGTGCCCCAGCGCCCCCGTGGTCTGAGAGTGAATATGTGAAAACATATTCGAGAGTGAGAGAGATGAGAATCCAAATACCGGGTAGAGGGAGCGGACCGTGAGTTGAGGAAATCGAGGGACGCGACCCACTTCGCCAGTGACGGTCCCGCGCCTCGCCGCTAAGACAGTGGCACGCGCCGCGCAGCGGCGCGTGCCACTGTCTTTGTCCGGAGTGAAAAGTCCAACGCGCTCGTCGGTGACGGTGTCCCTCAACCTGCGCCGCGCTCGGCGAACCTCGACAGCGCTTTCGGTGGCATGCAGCTCTTTGCGACAGAAGCCTGGAGAGCAGCTCCTCTGCTGCTCACACACTCTGCACAGTTGACACAGCCTATTGTGCGGCTGCCACAGCTGTGACAGCGATGGGCTCGCCCTCACTGGCCCTCAGTCACTTGTGCTGCGGCTTGTGTGAGCGACACTGCTCGGCGACTGCCGGCACACTGTGAGACCATGGGTGTGAGGTTAAACCACGCTACCAGCGCTTGGTCACATCGGCCCCGAGGTCAGATCCTTCTACTCTGTTGATGACAAGACTTGTCTACCGGCTGGAGCCGAGCAGGAGGGCCCAGCGCACAACCCCTGGTCAACTCAGGGTCCACACCCCGTACCAAGAACACTTGTCACTTCCAAATTGGCCGGTCTGCGGACTATACATCACGACTTTTCTCGACAGCGACGAGGACGGCGGCTCGGTGCCGCTCAGTACCTGGCGCGGTCACCATCGCTCAGTGCAGGAGCCTGACGGCCGACGCGCGGCCTCACCCTCTTCGCATTTCGCTACACGGCAGCAAGCAACAGCGCCGGGACCTCACTTCACGCGGCCGGCCGCTTGCTCGCCTCCACCACAGCGAAGCCCTTCTTGCCCTGCGCGTTGACCTTGCCCCGCGCGTAGCCAGTCGCCTCGGCCGCGTCGCCAAACACCTTTGGGTGGCACGACCCCTTCCCCTTGGCGCAGCCTCCGAAGTGAATCTTGACGGAGAGTCCCGAGCACTCGAGGTCGTACCACCTGCGGGCGCACAAGGTGAAATTTTGAGACGTGGGAGCCAGCCTGTCGGCGTAGCGCATCGGCGGGGAGGATGGGCTGTGCGTTCCAGCGCCCACTTGTTCTTTTCGGGGTTGTGCATGTAGATCCATGTCGTTGGCAGCGGTGCTGCAGTCGGCGGCGCCTCTCCGGAGGGGCCGCCCGTGCGCTGCTTCTTTGTGGCAGGAGTCTTGACCTCACAGTCAACTTCGACGAAGCCATCGGCGAGCTTCTCGGTGCGCTTCTTCACCGCCGCCTCGCGTGCGGCCGCCTCCGAGTCAAAGCGCTTCTCGGCCGAGACCGGCGTCGCCGTGCTGCGGCCCCACCGCGTCTGGAGGAGGCAGCGCTCGCCGTCGACGGCGATCTCAAAGAATTGGCCGGTCTCTACCTTGCGGAGGAAGGACACGATCTCGGTGCCAGCGGCGCCAGCCATCGGTGTGATTGCACAGATTGTTGGAGGGTCGAAGTGGAGCACAAGAAAAGAGAGAAAATGTTCCAGGGAAAGAAGTAAAAACGTCCCTCGCACGACACTGGGCACGGGACTGGCGCGCACTGGCACTAACACAGGTACACCAAGCAAGAGAAAGCGCATACAAAACAAGCAAGAACACAACGCACTCTCTCACATGACAAGCGATCCCACGACAGCGAGTGTGGGGACTACATGATCCGTACGTACGTGAAGGGTGGAGGGGCCCGTCCGCGGAGCTAGGCGGTACGGGCGCCCCTTACTAGCAAGAGACAGCAAAGACCCGCGGCCGGAAAAGAATTTAAACAAGACAACTCTCTCTCACCGGAAAAGAATAGATGAAACAGCGATGCGGATAATCCGGCCCGCTGGGTGCGCTCCTCAGCTCCCCGGCCCTGGATGTGAGGTTGATGACTGCACTCCAAGACCAAGTGCTCCAAGTGCTTGTGACGCCAGCTTGTGCGCGTCGCCAGTACCTTCTCTCTCTCGTCGAATGAGGAGTCTCCTCGCATGGCGGAAGCCAAAGAAGCTCGCCGCCAAAGCCAAGGAGGCGCCCCTGTCCCGGGCCCTCCCCCTCCCTGAGATTCTGGAGGAAGAAATCCTCTCATTTGTGGATAGCTTCGGCTCCGAAATACCGGAAGGCTTCGGTATGGCGGCCGCCATAGTTGATTCGTTTGCTTTAGCTGGAGCTGAGGCTGGAGTGGCCGCCGGAGCCGTCGGCGCAGGCGTTGCCGCAGTTGGAGCAGGAATAGTGGTGGCGGCGGTCGCCGTCGTTTGCGCGGCAGTCTACGCTATCTTTTGGCTAACCGGGGGCTTTGCGTTGCCGGAGTCTTGGTGCCCTGCTACTGGACGAACGAGCAGGAGCTCGACCTCAAAGACGGCGCCGGCAAGAAGACGTGGTTGTTTTGGACCGAGGAGGTCGGGGTGTTTTCAAGTGTACCCGTACGCGACCAGGGAGGACCTGGACAATGACACGGGAAGTTGGTTTGTTGATCGGGTCCTCTTCAAGTGGGACGAAACAACAGGCCAGCTCCCAAAGAGTATGGGGCTTGGGGTGTTGGCACGGCGAGAAATTCGATACGGGCGATGGCCGATGGCCGCCAAAAAGATGCACGAGCAGTACCAGGCGAACGTCAATAAGAAGCTTGCGGAGAAAGGCCTTGATGGCAAAGAGATTGACAAGGCTGCTCTCGCAAAATTCTGCGCAGACTTTCAGGCCTGGTCGGCGGCGAAGAAGTGAGAGGGATGACGGAGTGGTGCATCGGGCCGGATATGTTCGCCGCGCCGTCGTGGTGAGAGCGGAGGCAGGGGTGCTAACGTGCTGTTTTCGCGTAAGGCAGGGGTGCTAGCTCTTACTAGTAGTAGGTGTGCGTGTGGTAGAGAATCATTTTACTCTAGAGGGTCAGCTCGGGGCGCGTGAGCCGGACTTGTGGGCCGGACCACCCCAGAGCCCAGTCATTCACGGCTCTGGCCCGGCCGCATCGCGCCCAGGCCGTGGCGTTCAAGGACACCCTCGAGGAGGGCTTGCCCGGAGAGGCCTTGCTCGGCGAGAGCAGCATCTACGCGGTCCGAGTCGACTCGAGCAGCAGGGCTTTGCCGTCCGCCAGCCGGCAGAGCGCCCGGCGACTTGTCCGTACGATGGGATCCAAGCGCGCCATCTTCCTCGGCGAGCACCACCCGGAGCCCCGGGACCCTCAGCTCCAGGCCGCGCGGCTCACGGCTCTTCTCCGGCGCACCACACGCAGGCCCCTCGCCGTCGGCTTGGAGGCGGTGCAGCAGCGCTTCCAGCCGGCGCTCGACGACTACCTCGCCGGCCGTCTCGATGAGGCCGGCTTGGTGGCTGCGACCGAGTGGGAGAGACGGTGGTACTGGTCTTTCGCGGCGAATGGTATGCGCCCATTTTCCGGATCTGCCGCACGCACGGTGTGACGATGCTGGCGCTCGACATGGACTCGGAGGACAAGGCCAAGGTGGAGCTGGGCGGCGCCCTCGAGCCGGCCAAGCGGCGCCAGTACGTGCCGGACGGCGATGGCTTCGAGCGATTCGGAAGCACGACCCACGAGGGCCTTCGAGGAGTATGTGTCCTACACGCTGCGGCCGCCCTTCACGCTGATGCGAAGGGCCGGCCAGCGCATGACCGCCTCCACCGACGACGCGCGGACCATCAGCTTCCCAAACTTTCTCACGCGCCAGAGCCTGAGGGACGAAGCGATGGCGTCCGCCTCCGCCGCCTGGCTCGCCGAGCACCCCCAAGGGCTGCTATTGGGCCTGGTGGGCGTCAACCACGTCAAATTCTCGTGCGGCGTTCCCGCCCGGACTGCACGGATGCTACCCGGGGGCTTGGACGCTGTTGCCTCCGTCCTCCTTAACCCAACAGCCGCCTCCACGTTTGTAGACCCCTTCAACCTCCGGCTTTGCGATCGGGCCGCCGTCGCAAACGAGGCGTGCTTGCGCAACGACATCGAGGTGCAAAATTATGTCCTTCAGGTGCCGTTTGCGCAACGAGGCGCTATGGCGTCGCGAGGAGTCATGGGCCGCGATCTAGTCGAGGAGGCCAGATCGGCGATGCAAGCCAGGAGGGGAAGCTCCGTGCTGGCCTTGTCAGATTACCTGATCTTCTCTAGATAGATGCCTTATTTCGAAAAAAACGCAACGGGCTCGAAAAGGGAGCGTCGAAAAAGAAATTTCGCTCTTTCGCGAAAAAGAAACTCGACGAGCGAAAACCATGGGCTGCTGCTCCAGCACCGCCGCCACCAACCGCGCGCCCCCAGGCTCGCTCGCGACGCCACCAGCATCACGCCACGGCGGCGCGCCCGCCTTGGTCTTCACCACCAAGCCGAGCAGGCCGGTGGGCGACGCAGCGGTCCCGCCCGCCCGGAGGTGCATGTTTGCCGTCGTGATGCCCGCGTCAACCGGCGCGCGGCCGTGCCACCTCTTTGTCGACCGCGAGAAGCCAGTCGAGGCGATCCTGCACGCGGCCGCCTCGCACGGCGGGTTTGCTGTGGATAAAGGCAAGCTGGTTGGCTCGCCTGAGAGGCTCAACCTCTTCACCTTCCCGGAGGGCGAAGTGGTTCGGCTCGATCTCGAGGTAGACGCGCACCTCGGCGCGACGCTCCATGAGGGGCGTCTCCTCGTTCTCGAGAAAGGCAATCGGCTGAGCGACGAGCGCTGTCGAGCCCTGCAGGCGGCCCTGGGCCGGTGACTGCCGCTCCCCGCGCTGCGTTGAGGGCTGGTGCGCGGCGCGTCGGTGTGCGCCGGGCTGCTGCCGCCCGAGGGACACTTTGCGCAGCCACCCGGAGGCTGGCGAGGCTGGAAGACGCCGGCTCGCAAGGCGTTTCGGCCGTCGCGGTTGCTGCGCCCTTCGCCTGCCGGACGCGGGCCGTCTGAGTATGCTGCGAACCAGGCCAACCAGGCCACGGCCGCGGCTACTCTCTTGTTCATCTCTGCCGTCTCTTGTTCATCTCTGTGGCTACTCTCTTGTTCATCACTGCCGGCAGTCGTGTCCAGGCACCCCCCCCCCCCCCCCCCCATCCACCGCCCGACCGCCCCGACCGCCCCCACCGCCCCATCCGCACGCTGTTGCAAGCCGAGTGCGGCGGTGAGAGATCACGCCGTGCCGCGCCCGGCATCTAGCCGTGCCACACTGAACCCCCCCCTGCAGCCGCGGCGCGGGCCCTCCCTCTCGCCATCCGCCGCTGACGCCGCAGGGGTCCAACCGCAGGGGTCCAACCCCTCCCCCTCCCGCCCCCCACCCCCACACACACCGCCTCCCCGCCCCGCCTCCGGTGGCAACGCCGTCCGGTCGCTTCTCCTCACCCGCAGCTTTCGGCTTCGCAGGAGCTCCACCTCCATCTGGCATACGTGGCGTCCATACCCGTCGGCATGCGCCGCCACCGGGTTTGCGAACACCGAGTAGACCTGGTTCGTAAAGAGCCGTTGCAGAAAACTGACGTAGCATTGCAGAGTTTGTCGGGATCTTACCACACCGGTCACCGCTCTCACCTGCGTCCTGCCGCTCTCACAACAGATAACTTCACAATTCAAATTTCAATTCTGAAATTCATTTAAAAAGTAACACATGGCATGTGACACATCACAATTTTGAGCGAGCCGCAGCGGGCGGGCCCCACACCCCCAGTTGTGTGCGCGAGTCGTCGGTCGCATGCAGAGCCTCCTCCACCTCGAATCGGATGCCGACGGCGCGGAGGGCATCGACGAGGGCGGTGATGGCGGCGGCGCCTCCGGAGCCGACGAGGCCGCCCGGCGTGAACACGCCACCAACTATGGGGAGCCGCCGCCGCTCCTCCTTGATGAAACGGGCCATGCTGAGGAACATGAGTGCGGTGGCGATGTAGCCCGGCTCGGGGCCCGAGACTAAGACGGTCGCGGCGCGGTCCTACAGTGTGAGCACGCCGAGGTCGGGGCGGGAGTACGGTCTCGCGCCGCGTTCTCGGAGCACCGCGATACGAGGGATGCGAATACAGCTGACCACAGCTGAGCACAGCTGAGCACAGCTGAGGCACAGCTGAGGCACAGCTGAGGCACAGCCGAGAAGAGCTGAGGCACAGCGGAATGCGTGTCCTCTCGAGTGGCAGCTTGACTGTTCAGACCTGTGCTCCGCATCTAGGGGTGCGGTCGAAGCTGGCAGAAGGCGGACTGTCGGGTGTGGCGTCGGACCAGCCGCGGCCAAAGAAGACGCTCTTCCACGACGTTGCCGCGAGCCTGCGCCAGCCGCTTGCAGCTGAGTGCGCGTCCTCTCGCGTGCCTCGTGCTGCGCGACTAGGGCCTCGAGATATGGGGAGATATGGGGAGATATGGGGAGATATGGGGAGATGTTGCGCATCTGGGGCGGGGAGCCTCTCCTCCGACGGTCCCTCGTCCGAGAACGCGCCTGAGGGTGGGCAGGCGGGGAAGGGAAGGGTCGAGGGAGAGGGAGGGAGAGGAGAGGAGGGAGAGAAGAGAGGCGAGAGTGGAGAGAGGCGAGAGAGGAGGGAGGCGAGAGAGGACGGAGAGGCGAGAGAGGACGGAGAGGCGAGAGAGGAGAGAGAGAGCGGAGGGCGGAGGGCGGGGCGCCGAGCGTGAAGAGGGCCGGCTGGCGCAGCAGCAGGGCGCGGCCCCAGCCGGAGCCGCTCAGCGCGTTGAAGAGCGCGCCGGCAAGGGCGACCATGGCGGCGGAGCGCGCACTCGCCACCGTGAAGCTCGCGCCAAACTGCGGCGTCAGATAGGGCTCCCCCGCCCGCCGCGGCTGCCTCGCGAGCGCGCGCTGCGAGGTGCGGACGACGGCGACGTCGGCGCCGGGGAAGAGGAACGAGTACCGCGCGAGCGCCTTTCCACCCGCAGTCGGAGTCAGTGCTGCTCACAGCCATCGCTAGGTTCACTAGCAGTGCCGCTGTGTCTTCCGCGAGCGCGTGTGCCACGCGCGAGGAGGGGTGTCGCACTGGCTGGCTGACTGCCGCGGGCGCTCCCGGAGCGCCCTCTTGCCACGCGCAATTAGTGTTGGTCAGGCACACGATCCCATTCACAGTGCCGCGCGGGCGCGCGCCTTTTGCCACGCCGGTCCAGCCGCCACCTTGAGCTTCGGGCCGAGCGGCGGCGGCGGCCTCGAGCTCCCCGGCGCCTCCTCTTCGAGCTTGGCGAGCAGCGCCTGGGGGGTGCCAGGGACGTTGGGGGTGGGACATGCTGTCCTTGCAGAGCCTCGACTCTATCGCGGCGAGCAGACGCCTTGCGCTGCGCGCGCGTCTCGCCCGCGCCACCAAAGCCGTGGACCGCGGCGCGAAAGGTGGTCGCGTGCCCGCTCGCGCCAGGTGGACTCCCCTCGACCGAGACCACGTGGTACATGTCCGCGTGCGCGCACAGGGCGGGCGGCGGGAACTGCATCGCCGTGAAGAGCGTGCCGAGATCAGCCGGCACGCTGTCAAAGGCACACGCGTGGACGACCAGCACGCCTGCCGTGCGGGCGGCGTCCGAGTGCTTGAGCTGGCATCGGTCGATGAACTCGGGCTCACCGCACAGGTCGCAGTAGTCCGTCGTTGTTGCGATGCAGGCGCTCACCACCGCCTCGCCGTAGAAGCGGTACGGCCCGGTTGCGTTCATGAGCACATGCGTGCGTGCGGACATTGCGCGCAGCGAGGCCTCGTCCGACGTATCAGCGATCACCACACCGGTCGGTGGACTCGCCAGCCCGCCGAGCATGCCGTCGAGCTTCTTCTGCGAGCGGCCAGCGATGGCCCAACGGACGGTTGCCCAGGCGCCTCCGGGCATGGACCACTTTGAGAGCGTGCGCGCAACTCGCTCGCCCGTGTAGCCGCTCGCACCGAAGATGAGGACGTCAAAGTCGCGCTCCCTGGGGAGATGAGACATCCTGAGTTTGGCCCGGTTGCTCGCTGGGACTGCACTCCAAGTGCTCCAAGTGCTCCAAGTGCTCCAAGTGCTCCAAGTTGGCCCTGGATGTGAGGTACTGAGGTTACAACTGTACCGACTGCACTCCAAGTGTTCATGGGTTCGAGTCGTCAAACATGAGCAGCGGAGGTGTGCCGAGGGGGACCGGGAGGCGGTAAGCCGTCGTCGCCCGGCGCTGCATGCAGCACCATGGCGATGGCGCTAAGAGGTTCCTCTTTTCCGCGCCCCCCCCGCAAGGCGCGCGATACACACACAAGTGCTCCAAGAGTTGGGTAGGAAGCGTGCGTGTGAGAGACAGCCGTATGTGTGAGAGACCAGGTGCCGCGGGAGGAACCACACCGGCTTAACTGGGACGGCCGGCTTAGCTGGCACCGGGTCTGCCCCCCGGCGGGCCGCGGGATGTGTGTGTGTGTGTGTGTGTGTGTGTGTGTGTATGTGTGTGTGTGTGTGTCAGTCTGTATCAAGAATATTCACTCTCACACACGCGCGGGATGTCAGCAATCGGCGCGCTGATCGGCCTCGACCAAACCTCTCCAAAACGTGTTCTACTTCGCTCTAACACCGCGCAGACCGCAGACTGGCACTAATGGCGCGCACGCTGGCATTAACAAACCTCGGCTGCGCACGCTGGGCACACTGTGAGAGTGTGAGAACGTGCTAGCCTAGGTAGGACGCAGGACGTGAGCACCATCGTCCGTCCCAGACGACGCTGTCCTTGGGTCAGCTCAACGAACGGAAGAAGTCTGGCGTGCAGGGAAAGCCAGCAGAGCCTACCAGCGTGGCATCCACATTGTCCGAGTCCTCGCCAGGAAGATCTCTGTGGCCTCGAGCAGCCTCGTCGCGAGTCGGAGCGAAAGGCGGCTCTGGTGATGTCTGGATTGGTAGGCATGCGCGAAAACGGTCGACTAAACATGACTCAGCTCACCTTCATCGCCAGGCCGACGGCTGCAAGAGAGAGAAAAATGGAGCAGCATGTATCGTCAGTTCCGGTGTCCGTTCGACCACCGCAGCGGCACACGGGGCACGTCGCACGCCTGGCGTGCCGCCGCCACTCTTCGAAGCAGCTCGAGTGGACTGGGTTGTCGCAGCGGGCGCATGTCCACACCGCGTCGTCCGGATGCATAGACTCGAGGCAGATGACACAGTCGGCCTCACAGCGACCCGAGCGCCGCATTGCGGCGTTCGTTAGCTGTGGGAGCTGCGTCGTGAACCCAGACCGCTGTGGAAGCTCCTGCATCGCGCCAAAGACTGGCCGCATCCAGACCTCTCGTTCTCCCTTCGTGGTCCCGAGGTCTCTGAAATAAAAAATAAAAAAACGGGCCTATCCCTACCTAACGAATACCTACCTACCAACGCGAAGCTCGCCCACCACTCGTTGGTGTGCCGGTGTGTGTGCCTCCGCGCCAATCTGCACCCTTGTATGTATGTATGAATGTAGAAAGATGAACAACAGTCAGGCTCGGACTGGACACCAACGCGGTATGGCGTATGGGTGGACGCGGGACAGATGATGACGACACGCACGAGCGACACACAGACACCCTTGTCGTGCCAGCGTGCAGGTGTGAAGCTGGGATTTCTCTTTTTCTCAAATTCCATAAATTCGATAACATCAGGTTAAGCTCCACACCTCCACTGGATGTAAATCCCACCAAACCGAAAACAAATCCTACTCGACTAAACCCGAAAACGGAAGCGCCCGCCGGCGCCGGCGCGGAACCTCCCCGATTCCCTGCGAAGGAGTGTCGGCGCCGAAGCTGTCGTCATGATCCAGAGCGCGTCGTCTGCGTTGCCGTTCGGCCGCGCGCGGGCCATGGGGAAGCAGGAGGAGACAACACCGCTCTCCGAATCCGTCGCCACTGATGACAGAGAGCAGGACACGACCACCACGAGTGCCCCCGCGGTACGTCCATGCCCTGTCGTCTGCCCACGGGTGGCAATGGTTTCGCCCGCCATCCGCCCGGTTGTGCCGCCTTCCGGAGATGACGTCCGTGTGGCTTGCTTCGTGGTGAGCTGTGCCAAGACAATCGCGCGGGTGCGCGGCCGCCGCAGCTGGCCAACCAACTTTTATTTTCTGCTGGGAGACCCGCAGCAGGCCGAGCCGCATTTCCTCTCGGGGGGCATTCTGCATCTGCGGTGTAGTGACGCCTATCTGGGCCTGCCGGAGAAGATGGCGGCGGCGTTCGATGCGTTCTGTCGCTTGCCAGCCTTTTCTGGGTACACACACGTGTACAAGGTAGATGACACGGACCTGGCGTCTTTCCGCACCGGCGGGATGGGGCAAGGCGACCTGTTGCGTTTTATCGGGCACCATGACTACTCTGGCTTGTATCTCAACAACTTTGGTCCTCTGAAGCAGAACCGACGGTACCACTTCAAGGTCAACGAGCCAGAGTTTTATTGGAATCGACGGTACTACACGAGTGATTTTGTCTCGTACTTGCAGGGAGGCGGATACGTGCTGTCTCGGGCGGCAGCCCGACTCGTGGCACTTGCATGGCCCCGCACCGATGTGGACCGTCTGCGTCGGACCGAGCCGTACGAGGACCTGATGGTCGGCAAGGCACTGCGTCGCCACCAAGTGCTCCCGGTGCAGCTGCCCCCGACGATGCGCGGGTTACTGCCGGTGCATGATGACATGGGCAGCCACGGGTCGCGTACTCCTCTTCTCCACCTGGGTGCGAGTTGCTGCGTTGGAAGTTCGCATTGGCCAGGCCGAGCGCACTCTGAGCCGCCTTGGCAATCACCCACGCCAGAAGGGTGGCTGCACTAGACGCCCAGAGAGGCGCGCGGCGCGGTCCGCGGACGGGTGCGGGATGGCTAGGGGAGAAAAAGCGGAGATCCTAGCTCGCTGGGAGGCGTGCGCAACCTAGAGTCGGTAATAGGGGAGAAGGTGTCAGTGTACAGTGTGACACTGCTCTGTGACGTGCACCTTGTGACGGTGCCCTGGCAAAATCGTCCCGAATTTCGATGCGCGATTTAGCTAAGTCCCAGAGCCGTTTACGCATGAGCGGGCCCCCTCACCAGCCTAGGGCTCGCGCTTCTGGCCCGAGGTGTCGCCGCTGCCTCCCGCGCCCTCCGGCGCCTGCTGCTACTGCCGGTCGGCCGGTCGGGTCCGCGCGACGGCTCCATCCTCGAGACGTAGCGGTCGCTGAGCGCTTTCTCGACCGCTACGTCTTCCAGTGCACCCACCCACCGCGACCCTCGAACCTGCGCTGCGCGGCGCAGTTGCTGCCGAGCGAGACGCCCCCGCCCGCGCAGGGGCGGCATCACCAAACGCTACCGCATGGCCGAGCAGCGAGCAGTGTGTGCCGCAGAGCCCGTCCGGGCCCTCTTGCAGCTGCCTCTATTGGGCGTAAACCGCGGATATAAGGGTCTATACGGAGGTGGGTGGCCTCTTAGAGGTATGGGAGCCGCTGGCACCGCGCTGGGCGCCGCGGATGCACGTACGAACGAACATTATGAAATCGGGACGATTTTGACCCAAAAATCACAAGGTGTGAGGGGTGGGCGTAAAGCCGCGCGCCAAGCCGAAGCCCCGGCTCTCCGCGCGGCTGCGTGGCATGGTTTTTCTCTTTTTGTTTTTCGTTTTTGCCTTTGAAACTGAACCGGTTTTTTGTGTCGTAGCAAAACCAGCGCAGATCCGTACTTGTTCAGGGTATGCAGCGAGAAAACATTCATTCACAGGGGCGCGGGGAAGCCCAAGGGAGGTTGCTGGTTGGAGCTCCTGTGTGCGCGCGCGCGTGTGTGCGTGTGTGCGTGCGTGTGTGCGTGCGTGTGTGTGTACCGCCCCCAGAGACACCCGCTACGGTCCCCACGTCTCGATCTTCTTGGGCAGCAGCTCCTCCGACAGGTCCTCTCCGTGGCCTAGGCAGCCGCGCTCACCCTTGCCCCAGGTAAAGACGGCTCCGTCGGCGGTGATGGCGAGGCTGTGGTCGCCTCCAGCCGACACAGCGACGACGCGCTTGCCAGCCAAAGCCTCGATCTTCTTCGGCAGCAGCTGGTCCTGCTGGTCGTCGTGGCCCAACATGCCAAAACCTCCGTGGCTGCAGCTCCAGACGGCGCCGTCGGCGGCGATGACGAGGTTGTGGTAGCATCCCGCCGACACAGCGACGACGTGCTGGCCAGCAAAGGCTTCGACCTTCTTCGGCAGCAGCTGGTCTTCCTCGTCGCCGTGGCCCAGCTGGCCAAAGCCTCCCATGCCCCAGCTCCAGACGGCGCCGTCGGCAGTGATGGCGAAGCTGTGGCTTTCTCCAGCCGAGACAGCGACGACACGCCGCCCAGTGAAGGCCTCGACCTTCTTGGGCAGCAGCTGGTGCTGTCGGTCGCCGTGGCCCAGCTTGCCAAAGCCTCCCATGCCCCAGCTCCAGAGAGCGCCGTCGCCGGTGATAGCGATGCTGTGACGCTCTCCTGCCGACACAGCGACGACGTGCTGGCCAGCCAAGGCCTCGGTCTTCTTGGGCAGCAGCTGCTTCTGCTGGTCGCCGTGGCCCAGGATGCCAGAGTAACCATAGCCCCAGCTCCAGACAGCGCCATCGGCGGTGAGGGCGAGGCTGTGCGACCCTCCAGCCGAGACAGCGACGACGCTCTGGCCCGCCAACGCCTCGACCTTCTTTGGCTGCCACTGGCTCTCCTCGTCGCCGTGGCCCAACCGGCCTTGGCCTCCATAGCCCCAGCTCCAAACGGCGCCGCTGCTGGTGAGGGCGAGGCTGTGGCAAGCTCCTGCCGCCACGCTCACGGCGCGCTCACCGCCCAGCGTGGAAGGGGTGTGGGTCGGCGTGTTGAGCCGCGTCACACCCTCGCCATGGCCGAGGAGGGGGAAATCCGTCGCGTCGCCGCATGCCGAGAGCCGCCCCTCGCCGTCGATGAAGGCGCTGTGAGAAAGGCCTGCGGCCGCCCTCGCCGGCGGGTTGGACGCGCGCAGCAGCGCAGAACAGCACAGCCACCGCACGGCGCAGCCCTCGCCCTCAGGCAGCGCCGGCAGCTCGAAGCCGCGCTCTTGCGCCCACAAGCGGATGCCGTCCTCCGCAAGCGAGGCGTGGAAGAGCAGCGAGACGGCCGCGACGCGAGCGATGTCGGCGGGGTCGCAGCGAGAGAGGGCGCGCACGAGGAGGTCCGTGGGGAGGTCGAGGAGGCGGGCGGGCGGCGGCGTGTCTGGCGAGGGAGCGGCGGTGGAGGCGGCGGCGAGGCGGCGCGAGCGGCGGCGCGGCGGGGCAGACATCGCGAGGAAAAGAAAATCTTGCCTGCACGCGTTGAGATATAGTCGAGACGCAGCCGAGACGCAGGCGAGACGCAGCCGAGATGCAGTCGGAGGCGATGGTGCCGAGTTGTGCGGCGCCCCTTCACGCTCTCTCCACAACTGTGCCTAGGCGTCCTCTCCTCTGTGCTCAAGCTGCTGCCTCCGCCGGAGCCCGCTCGCCTCGGAGCTCCGCACCGCGCGGCGCTCCTTGCGTGCCGCCGAGTGAGAGCCAGTGTGGGCAGCGGCGAGGGGAGTGGTGAGCAGCGTGCTGCGCGAACGACCAACGAGTTGTGTCGGTGCACGGTGGCGGGTTCGTGTCGGGCGTCGGTCCGGTCTCTCGGGTCCCGGTGCGTGGTCCTTGCTCCTTCTGCGTTGTGGCATGTGGGCGACGTTCGGTGTGTATGGTTGCTGTATCACGTGTCAGTTGTACGTCTAACATCTCTGAATCGTGCGCCAAATGGAGCGCCCATTCAGATAAAACTAACTCAACGGTGACCGGGCCGAGCAGGTCGCGATCACACACCATGCTAAAGGACCGCTGCACACATGCCCGTCTACATGCAACACATAAATACGAGCTCAGGCGCGACATGGCGGAGCGGCGGGACGAGCGCGAGCACAGGACCCACCGACCCAAGGGCCTGAGGCTGCGCTGCCGCCTGCGCATCCGCTCAAACAGGAAAATCTGTGATCAGGCCGGAGAGCACGAGCAGAAAGCCGACGCCGAGGATCGCGATTATGCCGTAGTCGAGCGGCTCGAGCGGACTCGAGAAGTCCGGCCACTCCTTCTGTGCGCCATCCTGCATGAGCAGCGCTTCAGATGCCCGAGCGGGTGCGGGCCCGGTTGTCGCACCGACACCGAGAAGGCCCGGACGTGGAGGCGCAAGCACGAGGGCCTCCGCGGCGACGGCTAGGCACAGCAACGCCGTAGTGGTGGAAGATGGCATTGTCGTCGCTGCACCGGGACCTCGTCGTCGGAGCAGCTGTGGAGGATGTTAACCACGGTTTTCTTCTTTTGGGGATCGAACTATTAAAGTCTTTTCTTTTAGAGAGTGCGTTATCCTTTCTTTTTGAGCTTAGCCTTCATCACCGCACTATTTCTTTTTTGACACAGGCTTCCCACACCCTGCCTTCAGCGGCTGTCGAAAATGGCCGCTTCTGGCCCGGCGCTGGACCTCCTCCAGCGTGTCCAGGTTGTGCCGTACTCGGTCCTCGGGCAGCAGCTCGTGCGCGGCGAGGGCGTCGTGGACCGGGCCGGCCCTCCTGACGCCGGCATTGTGTTTTGCGACCCGGCCGGGCTGCCCTTCATTCAGCGCACCGGCCCTGGTGGCGCGGGCGGCGCGTCGGGCGCCATCTACGACTTTCTCGGCATCCGCGACGACGACGCCTTCCCGGAGCCGGTGCGCGAGGCTGTGACGGCGGTCGGCCTCGCAAAGCACCACGCGTACCCGCAGGAGGAGGGAGGGCCCCTCCACTGCATCCACACCGTCGGTCCGAACTTCAACCGCCGGTGCGCCGCCCCTCCCGCCGTCTCGCCGCGCCGGCGGCCGCGCGGGCCGCGCCTCTCACCGGCCGCGCGCCGCCCGGCCGCCGCCTCGTCCAGGCGCGACGATGGCGGCCAACACTCTCGCGAGGAGGCGCAGGAGGAGCTCGCCGCGGCGTACAAGAACGTGCTCTGCGAGTTCCACGCGGCGGCGAGCGGCGAGGGCGGCCCGACGCAGCTGAGGCTGCTGCCCATCTCCGGCGGCATCTTTGCCGGCCCCTTTGCCGATGAGATTGCGCCGCTGACGATGGACGCGCTCGGCGCGGCGGCGGCGGAGCTGCCTCCAGAGGTGCCTCCAGAGGCGGGGGCTGGACTCGAGGAGGGAGCTCCGCGCTGACCCCCCCCCCCCCCCTCCCGCACAGGTGAGCGCCCATATCCTCGCGCCTGCCAGCCCGCCGCTGCTCCTCTGCGTCTTTCTGCGCGACGAGCTCGACGCCTTCGAGCGGGCGCACAGGATCGCCACGGGCGAGGAGGCGCCGCTGCCCGACGCGTCCGCATCCACCGAAGCGCCCGCCGAAGCGGCTGCTGAAGCGCCCGCCGAAGCGGCTGCTGAAGCGCCCGCCGAGGCGCCTGCCGAGGCGCCCGCCGAGGCGCCCGCCGACGCCGCACCGCCCGATGCCGACGCCGCACCGCCCGATGCCGCTGATGACGACGACGCCTCACTCAAGCGCAAGCCCGACGGGTCACCGGCTCGGAGCGAATGAGAGGATGCCCGAAATGATTGTGCAAGCATGCGCTTGAGAGCTCACGTCGTGCCGCCAAAAGGACGCACCCCCCCCCCCCCCCAATGCACGTGTCTCGTGCTTATGTCGTGTGGCGTCTTCTCGGCGGAACACCGGAACTCTGGTTTATCTCCGTCCGCCCAGCGAGCCAGCGCCTCCCTCTCGTCCTGTCGCGCGCGCGCACACACACGCCGCGCACGCGTCACAACCGTTGTCGCACTCTCATCTCCGCCATACACTCAGGTCTCTTCACTAACTTCGTTATCGTTTTCCGACGCATCAATTTAAACCAGCGCTGCTACTCGAAAACGGGTCTTCTCCAGCCGCATACTCGACGCTATCCAGCACCAGGCCGTGCGGCGGAGCTGTGATCGGCACAGACTCGCCGCGGCGGAAGCGTCCGTCCGCGAGCGCCTCGAGTAGTTCGCCGCCCTCCATCTCGCCGTAGCCAACCTTCACCAGGCTGCCCACCAGGTTCCGAACCATCTTGTACAAGAAACGGTCGCCGCGGACGGTGAAGGCCCATCGCCCGGCCGAGGAGGCCTCGGAGAGGCCACCCTGCGAGAGGCGCAGCTCCGAGAGGGTGCACACCGGGTCGACCTCGACGCTCCGCTCGCCGCCGCGCGGCCGGTTGCCGAACGCGGCGAACGAGTGCGTCCCGAGCATCGCCGCCGCCGTCGACGCCACTGCGGCGGCGTCCCAGCCGGGCCGGCCGCGACGCGGCGGCGCATGCCACTCGTGCAGTCTCCGGAGCGGGTCGCGCGTGCTCGCCGTCGACAGCCGGTAGGTGTACTGCTTGCCGACGTTGGAGCGCACGTCAAAGCCGTCGGCGACGAGCGCGGCGCAGCGCACGCACACCTCTGGCGGCAGCAGCGCGTTGAGCGAGTAGGCGAGCCGGGCGGTGTCGAGGCGGCTCCGGCGATCGGGCGGCACCGCGTCGTCGAGCGAGAGCGTGCAGACCTGCCCGGCTGCGTGCACGCCGGCATCGGTGCGGCTGGCAGCCTCGAGGAGTGGCAGCGACGGCTGCTGGCCCGGCTGCAGGTCGCTCTCCGAGCAGCCAAGCACGCGGGCCAGCGCGGGGCGGAGAGCGACTTCTCGCAGGTCGGTCCAGCCGCGGTACGGCGTGCCGTCGTACGAGACCAGCAGCGCGAGCCGCATTGCAGAGAAGGGCGACCCAGGGCGGCGCGGCCGTCCCTCGAGGGGCACACCGGATGAGCGCCGAGGTGTAAGGCGCGCGATACACGCTGTTTTGAGCTGTCGCTGACCCGTGTGCGGGGTAACCCGCGCACGGGGAAGCTTCACGGGTTCGAGCCGTCAAACATTGAGCAGCGGAGGTGTGCCGAGGGGGACCGGGAGGCGGTAAGCCGTCGTCGCCCGGCGCTGCATGCAGCACCGTGGCGATGGCGCTAAGAGGTTCCTCTTTTCCGCGCCCCCCCCCGCAAGGCGCGCGATACACTCCAAACAGGGGACCCCGAACCAAGTACCACCGGAAGTCTCAGGCTGACAGGCGACTCAGTTACGCGCGAGGGCCCCTCGGCACAGCCGCCTCGCGACTAGCGGGGACCCAAAGGGGTGCCGGCATAGACCCTCTTTCCTCGCGGCGCACTCGGCTTCGCCTCGTGGTGGGAAGCGAACTGCACACCGCGAGTCTCCACCCAATAGCGCTATAGCGCACCTAGTCCTTGTGGCTGAGACTGGGGAGGTATCGAGTGGGAGTTCACAGCCTTGTTATGAGAAGAAAATACGTCCTATGGCGCTATGCGCTGGTCTGTGAGAGGTTGAGGTGCGCACCTCAACCTCTCACCGCCGTGGTGCTCATGCTGGCCTGGGTTCTGGAAAGAAGGCCGGAATGTCCTCAGATGAGATGACAGCACCCGCCAGCTGCGGCCCATGCACTACATCAAGGTCCGGTGGCGGCGGTGGCGCGGGTGGCGCCGGTGGCGAAGGCGTCCCCGGTGGCGGCGACGGAGGTGGTGACGGAGGGGCCGGCGCTGCCGGCGGCGACGGAGGCGACGGAGGCATCAGCGCGTAAGGATACTCGATGCACGCGGGCAGCCCAATCTCCGCAGCGAGGGGTCCGGAATTAGCGCCCGCGCCCGCCTGAATAATGGCCGTGAGCGACCCGTCGGGGGTCGGCCAGGCACTCGTCGGGAGCTGGGCCTGGTCAGCCACGAAGGAGGCGAGCGGCGTCTTCGTGTCTGGCAACATTCCACCAGCGAGGCCAACCACCTCCGCGTCCGTGAGGGCGTCGCCCCAAATCGTGAAGGAGGCGATCTTGGCCGCGAGGTCCTCGTCGCGAGAGTAGCGCGAGTGCAGGGTGATGTCGTCCGTGAAGGCGACGTTCGACTGTGCGTACACGAAGATCCACGCGTCGTAGCGGGGCATCGATGAGAAGGCGACGGGCGTGCCGCTCTCGTAAGAGTAGTACTTCCTGACTACCCAGTTCGAGCCGATGGACATGCTGCCGCCCCCCACGATCGCAAACCATCCGGAGCCCAACCCTGGCCGCGCATCGAAGAGGTAGTCCCAGGAGAAAGTGTCTTGCGCGGCGTCCATTCGCAGCCAACACGAGACGGCCCTGACGCCGGCGACGCGCGGCAGCTGCACATGCGCCTCGTCCGCAAGCGTGTTGCCCGGGCTGAACCAGCGGGAGACGCACGGCGACGGCGGCGGAGGCGGCGAAGGAAGCGGCGATGTCGATGGAAGTGCCGATGGGGATGGCGGCGGAGACTGCCCCGAAGAGGCACAGTCTACCCCTGCCGAGCAGCACGCCTGCTGGCACCACCCCAGGGCAACCATCTGACAGCAGCTGCCCGATGATACCACCGATGAGCACGTACTAAGAGCAACGCCTCCGTCGGCTAGGCTTGAGCAGTCTTGCGGGGGGGGCTGAGGTGGCGACGGCGATGCAACACCCGCTGAGACGCTCAGCTCTGGGCTGCGGCTCGCGGCGCCGGTCCGGGCGGCGGCCGCGGCTCTTGCCAGTCTTCGGCTTACGCCAGCACCTTGAGGGTGGCGAGGATGGCGAGGGCGGCGGAGACGGCGGCGATGACAACGGTGGCGGCGGCAGCGGTGATGGTAGAGGGGGGGGGGCTACGAGCGCCACCTCGAAGTGCTCGATGCGCTGGTAGCAGTGGCCGCTTCGACCAACCGGGCAGGCTCCGTCACCAGGGCTCGGTTCAGGGCTCGGTCGCGGCAGGCCCAGGTCCCTGTAGGTGTCGTAGGTGAAAGAAAATCCGTCGTAAGTGAAAGAAAATCCGTCGTAGGTGTATGGGCAATCCAAAGTGAGGGCCACCTGCCCGAGGCCCGTCCAGCTGGCGCCGTTCCAGCCGTCACCATGCGAATCGCACATGAGCAGGGTGCACTGCATGCCAACTGAGAGCGAGACGTACCATGTTGCGTCGCGGGCGCTTTGAGAGATGACCTCCTTCCCCTCGCAGGTCAGAGTCCAGCTCACATCCTCAGGGTAGGATCCTCCCGTCGTCGTGATGGTGTATACCGCGGCCGGGCTGAACGGCGGTGCCGGTGGAACTGGTGGCCGGCCAAATGGCCATGCCATAGCTGTGTGGCATACCTTTTGCAGCAGGGAGAGGCGCGCAATTCACCCGCAGCCGCTGCCGCGACGGTGGTGCGCGAGACACCTCGAATCTAGGATTCCGATACTGGGGGTCCGTGAGATCCTCCGGAGAGCGGCGGACGTGCTACAGAACAAGCTGACGCGGGCCCAGTACCTCGATGAGGTGACTTGGACCACCAAGAGCTGGCTGGGGCTGCAGAAGCAGCGCATCTCAGTCGTTCTTCACACGGCCATCGCAGAGCAGGTCGTGAATGAGCTTGCCTGTGGCGGGGGTGGGCGGGTGCACGGAGCTAAGTGCCTCGCCACCCTCGCAGGAGTCGCTTAGGCGGCTCCCGTGGTGTACCTGTGTTCGTGCCAGTGCGCGCCAGTCCCGTGCCCAGTGTTGTGCGAGGGAGTTTTGTTGTAAGATTCCGATACTGAGTACACATTTTACGGGCCGTGGCGTAACAATTTCATCCAACTTGGCAAATTCAATTTCGGCGCGGCGTGCGGAACAATTTCATCCAGTTTCGGCGCGGGATCACTCTCGGCCCGAAACGGCCCGGTGGCGCCAAGCTGGGCCGATGGCGTGCACAAGAAGCCTGGTGTGCCTTCGGCCTTCGTTCGCCCGTGTGTGTGCGTGCCTTCGCCCTGTGTGGTGTGTGCCTTCGCCCTGCCTGCCTGCCTGTGTGCCTTCGGCCTTCGCCCTGTGTATGTGTGCCTTCGCCCGCTCTAACACGAGAGTCGAGACCCACACAGAACCTCCCACTCATAAACCCTCGCTCGCAGCGCAGCATCAAGCACAAACAACCCGGATGTGTGTGTGTGTAGAAGTGCAGGTGCTAGGCCCCCGCCGCGCAGCAAGAAACTGCTGTTGCGCATTGTCCCAGCAGTATAACGGAGACCCAAGACAGCAACGTGAACGGAGCACGGAGGCAAAGGCAAAGCCACCCACCGCAGCTCCCCTACTCCAACGCGCGAGTGACAGTTTGGTTGGGATGGCAACAGTCGAGATACCTCGCACTCCATAGAGAGAATGAAAGCCGACCCGCCCCCAAGTCTAGCGAGGTACTCCCACGCCTCTCGGGGTTTTAGTCTGGCCGAGTCAACCCGAGAGGGGCGAGCCTCGGCGAGTCTGTTTTCACAGCAGGCTGGACCGGCAGATCAAGTCCGGCGCACCTGTGCTTTAGCCTCCTGTGTTGAGCACTTCGCTGACCAGGCCCAATGGCGCTCACTCCCGAGTCCGCCAGCACGACACCGCTGCACAATCCGAGCAACTTTAGCGCCGCACTCGGCCTGCCTTACCTCGGCGACTACCCGCGCACGTACACACACGAAGGCGGATTCCCTGCCGGCTTTGTGTGGGGCAGCGGGACGGCCGCGTACCAGATCGAGGGCGCGTGGAACGAGGGTGGGCGTGGCCCGTCCATCTGGGACGACTTTTCCGGCGCGGGCGGCCCGGCTCATGAGGCGATGGTCAAGGTTGGTGCCATCGCCGGCGGCGGCGGCAATCATTCGGGCGCCGTCGCGTGCGACCACTACCACCGCTACCGCGAGGACGTCCAGCTTATGGCCAGCCTCGGTCTACGGCACTACCGCTTCTCGCTCTCCTGGCCTCGGATCCTTCCAAACGGCACGCTGGCCGGCGGAGTCAACGAGGAGGGCGCCGCGTTCTACGACGCGCTGATCGACGCGCTGATCGCGGCAAAGATCGAGCCCTTCGTCACGCTCTACCACTGGGACCTCCCCTCCGCGCTGCAGACGGCCGCGAGCCCCGGCTGGCTCTCTGCCGGCACGGTGCGCCCGCACCTAGATTTGCCAAGCCCTATGCCGAGCTCGCGCCCCGGAGGCGACTCTGCCGCCTGGAAACGCTCTGCCGCCTGGATCCGCTCTGCCGCCTGGATCCGCTCTGCCGCCTGGATCCGCTCTGCCGCGTGGAAACGCTCTGCCGCCTGGATATGATCCCACGCATGTCTGCCTGCGTCGAGTGTGCACGCCGCCGCACAGCACGAGTGGCACCGCCTCACCGCCGCCTGCCCTCTGCCCCGAGGTCCGCCACTTCGAGGACTTTGCGCGGCTCTGCTTCGAGCGGTGGGGAGGCAAGGTGCGGCGGTGGGTCACATTCAACGAGCCGTGGACCTTCACCGTCCTCGGCTACGGCTCGGGAAGCAAGGCGAGACCGGGCCGAGAGACGGCCGAGAGACAGCCGAGAGACAGCCGAGAGACAGCCGAGAGACAGCCGAGAGACGCCCGCCTTGCGGTGGACATCGTTGAGATATGGCCGAGCGATGGCCGAGAGATAGCCGGCGCCCGAACGCCGCGCGCGCCACGCCAGACTCTGTACCCGAGATTGCCATATGGAGGAGCCAGGATGGGCAGGGAGGGAGGGCCCGAGCCTGTAGGCGCCCGGAAAGCCATACGCCGACGTCCGCACCGGCCCCTACCTCGCCGGCCACAACGTCCTCCTCGCCCACGCCGCCGCTGTGCGCGCCTTTCGCGAGACGGCGGCGGCGAGCGGCGGCGCAATCGGAATCACAAACAACATCGACTGGCGTGAGCCGCTCACCGCGGCGCCCGAGGATGTCGCCGCCGCCGAGCGCGCGCGCGAGTGGTGGCTGGCGTGGTTCTGCGACCCGATCTGGCGGGGCGACTACCCGCCCTCGATGCGCGCCTCTCTCGGCGAGCGGCTGCCCACCTTCACTCCGTCGGAGCTCGAGTCGCTCCAGGGGTCCGCCGACTTTTTCGGGCTCGACCCGCTAGATCGACCAGCTAGAGGCTGAAGACGCGTCCTTGTGTCCAGCCGGCGCTCGAGAGGGCGCGTATTCCGCTGCATCCGGCCGTGTATGCATCGTGCGTAGCCATTGTAGTGCACGCGGTGCTACGAATACGCGGCACGGCCACCGTGCTCTGTAACCCTGACGCTGGTGTATTCACGCTGCAGGCTCAACCACTACGGATCGTCCTTTGTCGTCGCCCAGCCGAACGGCAAGCACTACGGCAAGCACTACGGCGAGGGCAACGGCGAGTCGTACTGGAGAGACTACGAGGCGCTCGCGCTGCACTCGGAGGAGATGAAGGAGGAGGCGGCGGCGTCGGCCTGGCTCTACTCTGTGCCCTGGGGGCTGCGCAAGCTCCTCTCGTGGGTCAAGCGGCGGTACGGCAACCCGCCGCTCTACGTGACCGAGAACGGCTGGTCGACGCCCGGAAACGAGTCGGTCGAGGCGGGGGTGCGCCGCCCTAGATGCGGTGATGGAAGGCCGTGCGTTCCGCCGGAGGCGGCCGCGCCAGCCTCTGGCACCCGAGGACCCGAGGCCCCTGCAGCGCCCATGTCCGGCGTTTGCGGCTCCCCACCCTCCACCGCCCTCCACCGCCAGCTCTGCCTCCTCCGCGCAGGTGGCCGACGGCTCGCGCGTGCGCTTCCTGGCGAACTACACCTCCGAGCTGCGCCGCGCCATCTACGAGGACGGCGTCGACGTGCGCGGCTACTACGCCTGGTGCCCTCGCGCGAGCCGCGGGGGGCGTGGAGGGGGCGGCGGGTGCCGGGTCGCGGAGCCCTCTGCCGCGCCCCGTCCTGTAGGTCGCTGCTCGACAACTTCGAGTGGGAGATGGGCTACTCGGAGCGGTTCGGACTCGTGTACACCGACTACGCCACCCAGCGGAGGCACCCAAAGGCGTCGGCGCGCTGGCTCGCCGCGGTGGCGTCCGCAAACGCGCTCGTCGACCCGGCGGGCTTCGCGGGCGCGCCGCCCGCGCCGCCCGCGTCGTGCGGCGCCGCGCTGCAGGTCCAGACCCAGCAGACGCAGCAGTCGGTCAAGGCGGCCGAGCAGCTCGCGCTCGAGGCGGAGGCGGCGCGCGACGAGGCAGGTGCGCTCGAGGACGCCGCCAGGAGGGCGAGGGCGCTCGCGTGGGCTTTTGCGGCCGCGGCGGCGGCGCTGGCCGCGGCGTTCGCTCTGCTGGTGCGTGCGAGCCCGGACGCGCGCCTCGCCGTCTCCCGCGCCTCGGGCGGGCGGCTGCTGTCGCACGCGGGGGAGGGGAGGCTGCTGCGCGACGAGGGGCGGGGCGCCTCCTCGTCGGCCGCCGGCGGGAAGGAGCGGCCGTTTTGGACGCGGCGGATCCGCGCCCAGCGGAGCGCGAAGCTGCCAACGAGCGAGGTGGCGGCGGCCGAGGAGCTGGTGGACCAGCGCAGCTGGCTCGCGGAGGAGGAGGAGCAGGTGGTGCGGGTGGTGGAGGAGGCGGTGAGAGAGGCGGAGCTCGAGCTGCACCGGGCTCGGAAGTGAGACTCGCGGCCTAGTGCGATGCGTCGAGAGGCGTTGACATGTTTGGAGCAAATGGAGTCTGTTGGTTAAAGCCGTAGTTAGAGTATAGAGAGGGTGAAGCGCTTCACCGACTTTGACAGCGTCGCGGCGCGGTGTAACTTCGACTGGCCTGCAGCATCGAATGAGCCGAAACGAGGCACGAGGGCGACGCACTTCGTACGCTACGAGGAGATACAATTAGGCAAGGCAGCTGCGCAGGTGATGGTCCTGTTTGCAGAGAGGGGAGTCAAGGAAGGCCAAGAAATCACATGGTCATATGGGGACTCATATACAGGAGCCACCGCAAGGAGATGGGATACAGGGCGGGGACCAGGGCGGATCCGAACGCAATAACACCCCAGCAAGCGCGGACGGCATTCGCGAGATACTGCAAAAAGATAGACGTGACGAAGGAGGAGCTAGCGTGGAACTTTGGATGCATATCGGCAAGCCAAAATAACGAGCAGGAGGCTGTCCTGGTGCGTGAGCTAATCCTGAGCAACAATAAGCGACTGTACCACGGAGCACAGAGCGCAGCAGACAGGACGGCGGCGACGGCGGACATGGCAGAGACGAGTGTGAAACAAAGGGCGGCGGGCATGGAGGGCGGTAGCGACGGGGATGGAGACGGTGACGGTGGCGAGGGAGAGGAAGGGGGTCCATTAACACCAGACAGCGAGAGGGGCAGGGAGGAAAGGGGGAGAGAGGAAGCCAACGCGACGTGCGCAGAGGATGAGGATATAAACTGGGACGACGCAGCGGAGGGGATAGGCGAGGGAATCGAGGGACCGGAGGGCTTTCGCGACAGCGACGATGACGACGAAGAAAGGGGAGGGGACGGAGGGGCGACACGCAGGAGGAGCGAAATCGCTAACGGCCCGAGCAGAGAGGGCGACGGCGGGGCACGAGGGAACAACGGAGACGCTACCGATGACGCGAACCGAGGCACGGACGCCGGCGGGGACGGGGAGGGCGACAGCGACGTCGAGGTTGACGCAACCGTATCGAGAGCGCCACCCAAAAAGGGGCGGACAGCCATGGAGGTCACCGAATGGAGGGCGAACGGCACGATGCGAAAAGGCAGGGCGAGGCGGATGGAGAAAGAAGTGCCGAGAAGGCCATGGTGGAGGGGAGGGACGGGAGGACGAAAGAAGGGCGAGGAGGACGAGCGGCCCGCACAGACCGCGAGCAGACAGCGCCTGCTGGCCATTTCGAGACATTCGCCAAGAACGCTAGCTACATGGGAGGGCTTCGTGAAGGATGGATTGAAAAACATTCGAACAAAGAAGAGGCGACGGGAGGAACCGGCGGAGGATGCAGTGACGTGACACACACACACACACACACACACACACACACACACACACACACACACACACACACACACACACACACACAGAGAGAGAAAGAGAGAGAGAGAGAACCTCCTTATCAGCTGGTCGGCCGCCATGTGGGCCTCCGGGCCTGCTGCGGCGGCGCGGCCGGTTGAGGCCGGGCTCGGCCCGGCCCGCGACGGCTGGCCGCCGACGAGCGCGCTCGCGCTGCTCGTCAAGATGGCGGCGGTGGCGATTGCGGCGACAAAAGTTCAGGCGTACAGCGCTCAGGCGCCTGTCGTCTTTCTGTCGCATTTCGCACACGCGCGCGCTCCGCGAGGGCATGAGCCTTCCGCGATTCGATCCCGCAGCCAAAAGCTGCTCGCTCGAACCGCGGCCGACTCTGCCATCGCGGCCGCAGCTGTTGAGCTCTTCGCAGAAGACTGGTGCCTCATATGCTGCCTCCCTGCGGATGCTCCCGGCGAGCCTGGCGGTCCGCTGTACTACAAGGATGTGCTGACTCGATTCTACCTCGAATTCTTCTACCCCCGCGACCCCACGAACGAATGTGACAGGACCATCGGGTCCTTCAGCCACCAAAGCGTGATCACCCGAGAGCAGCTGAGCCTGCCTCTGGCCTCGCCTCCCTCTCCTTCAGGCATTCGTGGCATCCGATGGGTCGCCCAGAGTATCGACCTCTGGCTTGTCAGCCGCGGTCACTTGATGACCCCCTTGAAGTACAGCGATCGCCAACTCGCTGGCCTCTTCGCAGGCCCCCCCGACCGCGTCGAACTCATCGGCGCGGGCTCTCTCGGCTACGGGACCGGCCCCAGCTTCGGCTGAGGGCTGACAAGCTGCCGAGCCCAAATCACTGTGAGAGTCGTGATTTCTTGTTGGTCTTTAAAAATCACACACACACACACACACACACACACACACACACACACACACACACACACACACACACACACACACACACCGCTCACCCACGCGCACTGGGCCTTGCACTTTGAATGGGGTGGGGCTCCTGTCGTCAG